TATAGTCACTTTACAGTGCTATAAAACAATAGACATTATTCCTATTTAGCTTAGTTTTGTGGGTTTTTGTTTGTTTTGGCATCTGGTCAGTGTGGGGATCTGAATCCTGCTCTAACCAACTAAGCTAACCAGCCAGCCCCAGCTGTACTTTTGTATTCATTAACCAACCTTTCACTATCTCCCTTTCCCCTATTCTTTTCAGCCTCTGGTAACCACCATTCTACTCTTTACTTCTATGTGATCAACTTTCTTAGCTTCTATATATGAGTGAGAACATGTGGTATTTCTCTCTGTTCCTGGCTTACTTTACTTAACACAATGTCCTCCAAGCTCATGCATATTGCTGCAAATGACAGATTTTGTTTCTTTTTTATGGTTGAATAGTATTTCTTTGTGTATATATAGCACGTTTTCTTTTTCTCATTGGCTGATGGGATACTTGTGTTGATTCCATATCTTGGCTATTGTGAATAGTGCTGCAATAAACACAGGAGTGCAAATATCTCAATATACTGACTTCCTTCCTTTGAATATATACCCAGTAGTGGAATTGCTGGAACATATGGTAGTTCTATTTTTAGTTTTTGGAGGAACCTACATAATGTTTTCCATAATGGCTGTAATAATTTATATTCCCACCAACAGTGCATAAGAGTTCCCCCTTCTCCACATCTTTGCCAGTATGTGTTATTTTCTTTTTTATAATAACCATTCTAACTGGAGTGAGATGATACCTCATTGTGATTTTAATTTACATTTCCTTGATGATTACTGATATGAATCATTTTTTTTTTTTCATATACCTGTTGACCATTTGTAGAAGTCTTCTGAGAATTATCTATTCAGCTATTTGCCCATTTTTGATTGGGTTTCTTTTTTCTGTTGAGTTTCTTGTATATTCTGGATATTAATCCCTTGCCAGAGACATAGTTTGCAAATACTTTCTCTCATTCTGCAGGTTGTCTCTTCACTCTGTTGATTATTTCCTTGGCTGTGCAGAAGCCTTTTAGTTTGATATAATACCATTTGTTTATTTTTGCTTTTGTTGCCTATGCTGTAGAGGTCCTCTTCATAAAGCCTTTGCCCAGCCCAATGTCCTGAAGCATTTCCCCTATGTTTTCTTCTAGTGGCTTCATGTTTTGGGGTGTTTAATCCATGCTGAATTGATTTTTGTATATAGTGAGAGATAGGGGTCTAGTTTCATTCTTCTGCATATGAATATCCAGTTTTCTCAGCACTATGTATTGAAGAGACTGTCCTTCCTCAATATACATCCTTGTTGCCTTTGTCGACAATCAGTTGGCTGTAATTAAATGGCTTTATTTCTGGGTTCTCTATTCTGTTCCACTGGTGTGTCTGTTTTATGCCAGTACCATACTGTTCTGGTTACTATAGCTTTGTAGTGTATTTTGAAGTCAGGTAGTGTGATGCCTCCAACTTTGTTCTTTTTGTTCAAGATTGCTTTAGCTATGAAGAGTGTTTTGTGGCTCCATATGAATTTTAGGATTGTTTTTTCTATTTCTGTGAAGAATGTCATTGGTATTTTGATAGAGATTACATTGAATCTGTAGATCATTTTTTGTAGTATCGCCATTTTCACAATATTAATTCTTCTAATCCATGAACATGAAATGTCTTTCCATTTCTTTGTGTTCTCTTCAATTTCTTTCATCACTGTTTTAGCGTTTTCCTTACAGAGATCTTTCACCTCCTTATAATGGTTATAAATGGGATTCCTTTCTTGATTTCTTTTTCATCTTGCTCATTATTTGTATATAGAAACATTAATGATTTTTGTATGTTGATTTTGTATCCTGCAACTTTACCGAACTCATTGATCAGTTTTAAGAGTTTTTAGGGTTAGCTGTATAAAAGATCATGTTGTCTACCAACAGGGACAATTTAACTTATTCCTTTCCAATTAGATGCCCTTTATTTCTTTCTCTTGCTTAATCAATCTGGCTAGGACTATTCAACTTTCTGTTTCTAAAACTATTATAGATACCTCACATAAGTGGAATCATGCATTATTTGTTTCTTTTGTGACCGGCTTATTTCACTGAGCATTATGCTCACAACATTCATCCATGCTATGGTATTTGATACGATTTGCTTCTTTTTAAAGGCTGAATGATACTCCAACATCTGTATATTAGCAAAAAAAAAATTTTTTTTAAATCCGGTCATTTGTTTATGGAGATTTAGATTGCTCCTGCCTCTTGGCTACTGTGAATAATGGTTCAATGAACATGGGGGTGCAAATATCTCATTGAGATCCTGTTTTCAATTCTTTTGGACATATACCCCGGAGTAGATTTTTGGATCATATGGCGATTTTATTTTGTAGTTCTTAAGGAATCTCCATACTGTTTCCCATAGCAGCTTCACCATTTTACATTCCCACCAACAGTACACAAGTGTTCCAGTTTCTCCACATTCTCCCCAACACTTGTTATTTTCTGGGGGTTCTGTTGTTGTTTTGATATTGGCCATCCTAATAGGTGTAGGGTGGTATCTCATTGTGGTTTTGATTTGCATTTACCTGATGACTACAGATTTTGAACATCTTTTCATATGCTTTTTGGCCATTTGTATATTTTCTTTGGAGAAATGTCTATTCAAGTTCTTTGCCTGTTTTTGAATCAGGTTATTTGTTTTTTCATTGTTTAGTTGTAGGCATTCTTTATGTATTCTGGATATTAACCCCTTATCAGATATCTGGGTTGCAAATGTTTTCTCCCATTCCATGTTATGTTTTCATTCTATTTACTGTGTCCTTTGCAATGAACAAGTTTATAAGCTTGATGTAGTCCCATCTATTTTTGCTTTTGTTGCCTGTGTGTTTGGTATATCCAAGATAACACTGGCAAATCCAGTGTCATGAAGATTTCCCTTTTTAATTCTAGGCTTTATAGTTTCATAGTTTCAGGTCTTGCATTTATATCTTTAATCCCTTTTGAATTAATTTATGTATATGGTGTAAGACCTTTTCCATGTGAATATCCAGTTTTCCCAATTCCATTTGTTGAAGAGACTATCCTTTCCTCATTGTGCAGCTGTGGCACCCTTGTCAAAGATCATTCAACTAGACTTGAGGGTTTATTTTTGAGCTCTCTATTCTGTTCCATGTGTCTTTATGTTAGTACCACACAGTTTTGATTATTGTATCTTTGTAATATGTTTTGAAATTAGGGAGTGTGAAGCCTTCAGCATTTATTTTCTTTCATAAGATTGCTTTGTATTTTAGTAGTCTTTTGAGATTTCATACAAATTTTAGGATTTTTTTTTCTTCTGGAAAAAAAAAAAAAAAGCCTTTGGGATTTTTATAGAAATTGCAGTGAATTTGTAGCTTGCTTTGGGTAGTATGGACATTTTAACAATACGAAGTCTTCCAACTCACGAACATGGATGTCTATTTATGTGTGTCTTCTTTAATTTCTTTTGGCAATGTTTTTGTAGTTCTCAGTGTACAAGTCTTGGGCCTTTTTGGTTAAGTATTTTATCCTTTTTGATGCTATTGTAAATGTGATTGTTTTCTTAATTTCTTTTTTGGATTATTCATTGTTAATGTATAAGATGCAGCCAATTTTTTGTATTAATTTGGTATCCTGCAACTTTACTGAATTAATTAGTTCTAACCATTGTTTTGTGTGTGTAATCTGTAGGGTTTTCCACATATAAGATCATGTCATCTGCGAACAAAAATAATTTTACTTCTTTTCCAATTTTGATGCTTTATATTTTTTTCTTGCCTAATTACTCTGGCCAGGACTTCCAGTAATATGTTGAATTTAACTGGCCAACAGCAGGCATTCTTGCCTTGTTCCTGATCTTAGAGAAAAAACTTTCAATTTTTTTCACTGTTGAGTGTGATGTTAGCTGTGGCTTTTCAAATACAGCCTTTAATATGCTAAAGTAATTTCCTTCTATTTCTAGTTTGTTGAGCGTTTTTATCATAAAAGGATACTGAACTTATCTGGCATTAGAAATATCCAGTGTCTCTTCTGCATTGCATTCATCAAAGAAGTCATAAAGGTCTGTGCAGATTTAAAGGGAGGAGGAATAGACTTACACTCCACCTCTTTATGAGGATGTGGCAAGCTTCTGGAAGAGCACGTGGGACCAGAAATGTTTCAGCCATTTTGAGGAAAGCATCTTAGCAGCCTCACTTAGAATTCCAAAGTAGAGAAGGGTTTCTCTTGACCAGACCTGGGGGTGAAGTGGGGGTGAGAGAATGTGGCTTTTGTCTAATGGAATTGTTTATAAATTGTACATAAGAAGCTTTATAAGAGGTTTAAAGAATTGTATGATCTGGGCCGGCCTGTGGCTCACTCAGGAGAGTGCGGTGCTGATAGCACCAGGGCCACGGGTTTGGATCCCATATAGGGATGGCCGGTTCGCTCACTGGGTGAGCATGGTGCTGACAACACCAAGTCAAGGGTTAAGATCCCCTTACCGGTCATCTTTAAAAAAAAAAAAAAAAGAATTGTATGATCTTGAACTAAAAGGTACAGAACAGTAAAAAATAAAAAGAGGCCTTTGGACCTTCAAACTTCTATGGGGAGTAAGATTAGAGCTTCCCTGGTTCTGTTTCTGCTAAGTCATTCATTTTCCACTTGCATTTTGTTTCCAAAAATTTACTCAACTCTTATCCTTTGCTTTCTTCTCTCTTGTTTTGACACTGTTGTTACACTTTATTGTCATATTATTGAGATTAAAAAAAAAAAAAGGTCAATCTGTAGTATTTAGCTGTATGTCTTTAAAATGATTTGTAAATAATCCTAAAATATAGGAAATGTCTTCCACATTTTTTCCCCTTCCTGGAAGTACTTCAATAAAAATCACCCCACCTAAAAGCTAAGGCAACCTATTATATAACTAATGATTCTTACTACAGCTTTCTTAATATAGCAGATCTGTCCTTTTAGATGAAGACACAATGGTACAAAGGATAACCAAACATTAAACAAATAGGACACAAATAAAATATATTGGCAGGATACAGAAATTTGTAACGTAAGTCACATTTTAATATAGTTTTAAAAATATTTCCAAATAGAACTACAAATTTAATCAGGAAAAATACTGGAAAGAACATCTTAATTAACCATTAGTACATTATTTTAAAGGATTATTTTCCTGAATCCTTGGCTTATTACACTGAGTTTATAAAGGTATAAACCTACTGATTTTTCCGTTTGAGTATTTTATACCAAATGTGGTTTCCCCAGCTGATAATTATAAGTAAAGGTGTTCATGATAATCATGTTTTAAATAGGGAAATAAGTTGGTAAAGTCTGTAAGTTGATATTTTTAAACTTTTGATAATTATAAAGTAGTAATTAGCAAAATCCACACCCCCCACAAAAAATTTCAGCTTCTCTTCTTTTGCAAAAATCTTTATAAAAAATGTACTCTAAGTGCAATAAAATCTCCATATTTGTGTTTTAAAAATCAACAAATAGACATACCAAAATAATTCATCATGAAATCAAAGCAAAGAAATATTTAACAGTATCAGTTTTGCAAAGGAAAACATTACTGTGGAAGACATCCAAGGAGTCTAAAATACTTTTGTGGTGGCAATAACAAGGCTTCAGTCTGATCTTTACACTATTTTTAAAGCAGCCCTCCCCTGCTTTACAGTGAAAAGTCAGTGCATATTTCTTCATTTTTTAAAATTAGAAATTGCTTTAAAATAATTATTTACCTCACCTTGAAAACATGAATTGGCTATGATAAATCAATTATTTAACAAATTGGGTGATTTTTTTTCTAATGAAAAAACTGGCTAAAACCCATGGCAGAGTCAGGAAGCTATAACACAGGTCAGAAAAGAGGGAGAGAGGTCGGATGCTTTTTATGGAATGGAAGAACAACAACTTTAATATCTATTTTGAAATACTGAAACATTTTGGGCTCAGTTAGTCTCTACTACTTTTAAAACACAGCAGTAAAAACCAAAAATAGTAAAATACGAACCCTATCTTATTCTCAAAAACAATTTTCTGCTACATAAATAAAAAGTGCTTGTAACTAATAATATACAACACTAAAAATGTCAATTCTTAAGATCATGAATGGCCTATGTCTCACTGCCAGCAATGAGCCTAGTATATGCTAAGGGACACCATATTTACAAAAGACAAAAAAATATATATTCAATTAATATTTCCCATAGTTCTACTATTATCATTATACCACTGAGAATAAAATAATCTTTTCACATGGTAATTAAAACAGACGGATTGTATTATGAAAGAGTAAATTGCAAGGAACTAACTCCTCCTTAGGGATTTCTAACCATTAACTGTTTGTACTAGTTCATAATGAAGTTAAATATGAATAGAACACAATTCAAGAAAAAAATACTAATTTATTTGTTTTACAAAGTAAAATAGAATGAGATTTTAGTTTAGACAGTCAACAAGTGACAGCTTCAAATATCATCTTCACCAAGAATAAATTCAAAGCATTTCTTATTCACTTGATTAAGACAGGAAAGGAAATTCTAATTCCTGTGGACTGCCCAGTCACTTCAAAAATTCTTCTAAGGAAGCTAAAATAAAAAATACCTTTTGGATTTTGGTTACTCTTTAAAGTCACAATTTCCAGATGCCCTGGAAGCAATGAGTTCAATTTGGTGTCTTCTTGTGTTCTGGGAAAGAACAATAAATTTACAGCACTAGGATCTCAGCTTTCAAATGCTGTGACCAATTATTTGAGAGTTATAATCTGCAGGCTCCATTTTTAAAATATGTGGGATGACACTGTCAATTCGTACATTGCCAATAAGACCCTTGAAAAACAATTCTTCAGTGATGGTAGCATTCATCAATCTCAAAGCTGGCAATCTGAGAAGTAGTCTGGATAACCTAAAAAGAAAAAGAAAAAAGAGGATGGAGAGAACAAGGCTGTAAATCAAAATAAGATTTAGCAGAAAAATGAGTAATTTCTGTATTTATATTATTTTGGCCTAATTTAATAAAGATCTAATTTTCAGAAGTTAAAATCAAAACTTTAGCATTCTCAAGCCTTAGAGCATATGACAATCACCTGGTTATAAATGCAGTCCGACAGCCTCCACAGGAAAGCCTTGCTCTTAATTGCTATACTGTGCTGCCTCCAGATGGCTATATGGACCATAGAACTAATTTATTAAACCATGGATCAAGATCATTTAAGAATGTCTTAGCAGGCTGGTCGGTTAGCTCAGTTGGTTAGAGCAGTGGTGCTGTTAACACCAAGGTCAAGGGTTTGGATCCCTGTACCAGCCAGCTGCCAAAACAAACAAAAAACAAAAATGAAAGGCATAGCAACTCATTTCAGGTTGTAAGAACAGCAATGTTTTGTGTTATCAGGACACATGAGGTTCAATAACAGTTTCTGGCTTTGCTGTGCAAAAACCTACTGAAAGTGATAAAACAGGCAGCAGTTGTTATAACTGGGAAGAGCACAGAACATAGAATCAAGACTGCTGGGTTCAAATCTGGATCAACTGCCCCCAAGCTATGTGATGAATATGTACAAGCCACTTACTCCCTCTTTCTCACAGTGCTGTTGTGAACATTAATGAAATGATCCCCGCCAGCTCCTGTGCTAGGTAGTGACATTAAGGGCAGGATCATGTCTTGTATGAAAATGCATTATAAGTTGAAAACTGCTATCAAAGCACAACTTATTATTTTTAAATAACTAGGGATGAAAAAACCAAAGAGAATTCCAGAGATCAGTCAAAACACCCACAACCTAACATAACAGCTGTATGTCAAAAAGGAAGAAAAATTTAAATACTGTATTTATTTGTATAAGGAGGCATAAAGCAACTTTTGAAACTTTAAAAAACAGAAACAACCACAACAAAACCACTTTTCCTAAAAGCTTCTGGTACATATATCCTCCTCTTCCCCTAATGCCTTGCACTCTAACAACTTGAGACCAAATGAGACCAGCAGCCTTCAGGATTAAGCGATATTCCTATAGCCGTGTACTCTATTCCTCAAATTACTCTGTTCTGGTTTATTCCCACCAGCTGAGCTGCATGCACAGAACCAGTAGGAAGCAGAGTAGGAAACTCATTAGATAAACTAAGGCTGATTTTCTGGAATGAACTACCTTGTAAATTTACATTACTTAATATATGTAAAAAACTATTATACGTAAAATGTTCTTTTACTAGTTTGAATTATGCTACACTAATAAAAATAATTTTATTTATTATAAGCAAACACTTATATAGCCTTTACTACTTAACAGGCATGGTTTTAAGCACTTTACATGCATTATTAACTGATTTAACCCCTATAACAATTGTAAAAAGTGGACAGTATTAGTATCTCCATTTTACAGATAAGGAAACTGAAACAGAGAAGTTCAATTACTTGCCCAAGATCATGCACCTAGTAAGATAGAATCAGAATTCAAACTCCAGTACTCTGACTTTGACAGCAACGCACTTAACCATTCTGCTATACTGTCCCTCTTCCAAAATTGAGTGGCTCTTATAAAAAGAGAATTTTTTTCAAAGAACAGTGGCAAGAAATACCTTGAAAAGAATATTAAGCCATGTTTCAAAATTAATTATAAAACAGTCTAATGGTGTTTAATTCATTCTTTTTTCCCCCCTTTTACTAATAAAATCCATTATTTTATCTGAAGAAAAAGAGTTTGGACTCTGGAGTCAGACTACCTGGGTTCACAGTCAGGCTCTGCCATTTATTGTGTGACCTTAAACAAGTTACTTAATCTCTGAGCTGAAGTCTCCTTATATATAAAATGTGAGAACTTGATGGAATATTACATGTAAAGTGCTTTTTCAACAATGCACTACTGCTTTTAATAACAGCATTAGCTACTTTAAAGCTTACGGTTGACTAAAACATTTAATTACTCTTAGAATGAAAATAACAAAATAATAGATTAACAAAAGATTTTTAAATGAATTTAATCAAATAGTATTTAATTTCTAGATACCTGTAGGTGTCATCTGGATATGTTTTGGTTAAATAATCTTGGAATTCCACATAAGCCTTTTCCTGACATTTCTCAATCTGTTCCATATTTTCTAAGCCTGGATGATCTGAAACATTAAAGAATATATCGTTACCCTAATTCTTAATGCTCATTTCATAAGACACTGAGAGAAGGTGGAAAAGGATGGGAAGAACAGTTTAGTCAAAAAAGATGTTCTACCATATAAAGTGTGGCTCTTTATTTCTACAAATATTTATTTAGCCCATCTACTATATACCAAGCACTGTACACACTTAAAACTATTTTATATAATATACATATTTTAACATCTAATTAAAAATGAGGCCATGGGGTGTTACCAAAATAAATAGTTTTCTTCCTGTTCCAAAAGTGGTGTGAGGAATTTTGATCATTTTGCTCTTACCAGGAGCAAAAAACTAAAGACTCAGCTTAGTTAAAAAAGCATTTTTTAATCCATGAAATATTTGGAGATTATATTCTATGCCATATTTTTACAATAAAAACCCAGCTACTTTTAGGTAAAAAGGTACTTATGAAGTTATGAAAATATAAACATCATCACATCAGAAAAATTATGACACGGAAACATGAGATAATCTGTATAAGCATTTTAATAGTCACTATAACCATAGCGAAATGGAAATATTAAAAGAACTTCATAAAAATTATGCCTAACTTAAGAATTGTTGAAAAATATGGAAATCTCTGTTCTGATGAGTGGAAATAAAAGAGTAATTACAGGAAACACTTAATAAAATAAAATTATTTGTAATGCTAACTTCAAATTTGTTCTTTCAATTTTCACCTAAGGAAAATGAAGGTGGCAAATGGGTTGTGATAAAATTGGAGATACATATCATTAACTCATGTGCAAAATTAGAAGAAACAGTACAAAAAAGCTGAATTATCTTATTGGTATCCCTGAAGGGAAGAGGCAGGTTTCCTTAGAAAACTTTATTATGATGTACAGGAACAGAAATATATATCAAAATGAAAAATACAAAACCTAAGAGAATTGTCAATTGATCATTTAGAACCTACATTTTACTTACTGTGGAAACTAGAAACTGACAGAAACATAATAGACTCATTTTTCTTTTTCTTCGTAAGTCTAACAAAATACTTGAGAATGTAACCCATTAATACAGCAATACTCATCTGTCATTCTGCCATTTAATCATGACTAACAAAATATACCTAAGAATTTAAATGCTGATGTGACAACAGCAATAAAGGTCTATAATGTCATTTCACTGATTTCTCAACATTCCTTTTCATACCCAGATAAATGTCTAACATCCTTAAAATTCAATAATTTAAAATATACAATTCGATGGTTTTTGTATATTCACAGAGTTGTGCAACCATCACCACAATCTAAGTTGAGAACATTTTTGTCACTCCGAAAGAAACCATTTAATACCCATAAGCAGTCACTCCTCATTCTCCCCTCAGCCTCTGGCAACCACTAATCTACTTTATGTCTCTATAGGTTTGTCTTATTATGCTTATTTCATATAAATGGTATCAAACAATATGTGGTTCTTTGTGACTCTTTTTTCACTTAGCATAATATTTTCAAGGTTCATCCATATTGTAGCATATATCAGAATTTCACTTCTTCTTATGGCTAAATGACATGACATTTTATGTATATGTTATGTTTTATTTATCAATTCATATGTTGATGGACACTTGGGTTGTTTCCACTTTTTGGCTATTACAAATAATGTGGCTCTGAACACTTATGTACACATTTTTGTTTAGATATATATTTTCATTTCTTTGGGGCTGACAGGAGTGGAACTGCCAGGTTACGTGGTTACTCCCAGTTTAACATTTTGAAGAACTACTAAACTCTTTTCCATGGCAACTGCTGTACCATTTTACATTCCCACCAGCAATGTATGAAGGTTTCAATTTCTCCATGTCCTCAAACACTGTGTTTTAAATAAGAAGTAAATATTTATATACCTGGACTGAAGAGCACTATTGCCTTCAGGTAGGCATATTCATATCCATCAATGCAGAGCTTAACCATGCTGTTACAAAACTCTTGTAGTTTGAAGATGTGCTCCATCAATAATTTTCGTCTTTCTGTTGACATTTTATCTTTAATTAAGAACAAACACACACTTCTAGTTTTTGTCTAAAATGTATGATGAATTTTCATCCAATATACTTCTTTCTCACTATTTTCCAGCTTTGATTATAACCAATCTATAAATGTTTAAAACTCAGTATCTCTGCAATTATAGAAAAAAACTAATCATCTTCAGATATTGTTCATTCATGAAAAACAAGCTATTAGTACAGAAAACCCTAAATGTAATGTTTCTTTTCAAGATACACCTCTGAGAAGATAATATATAAAGACAATTTCTGAAAAACTGACCAACCAAAGTATAAGACTCAACCTTTGGCAACAGAATTTTATTTAAGATTATATTGGCTGGAAAAAGTAAGCAGAACCATCTACATTTTTTAACATTACCAACACTACTGCAATAAAAACAAATACTTAGCAAAAAATAATACCAAGACCAAAGAAAAGTTGATAAAAATAAAGTTTTAAAATAAATATTATAATTTACTGTAGAATATATTTAAAACACATCTATGAGTATTAGTGATTAGTCAAACATAGCTTTCCTGAACGTAGGCTGTATTAACACATTATAAGTATATGAGAGATAAATCAGGACTAGGAGTCCATAAACAAAATGGGAATGTACTGCTGCCTTCTAGTAGGTCTATTGTTGATGAGATTTTAAGGTGATTCCTCTGCCCTTAAATATAAGAAGAAAGCAGATGATTTAAAAATAACATAAAACAATGAGAAATAGAATATGCTAAGGAACTAAAAAGTAGTCCCTAAATTTTAACTTATTCCTGAGCTCAATAAGCAGATTTCCCCATGTGAAGATGGTGCACCCTCTTGGTTAATCACAAGCCACTCTGAAGTTAATTATTTATAGGCCTGGCTGGATAGCTCAGTTGGTTAGAGCACAATGTCATAAAACCAATATCAAGGGTTCAGACCCCCAGCCACAAAAAGAAAAAAAAAGTTAAGTATTTATAGTCAGTGATTGGCTGTCTCCTCAAATGAATAAAAGTTGTAATTACCTGGCATCTAGAAAAACAAAAAGACAGTAAAGACTGTTCTTTCATTCTTCAATATTGTTTAGGTGAGAGAATATACCTTGATAAACTGAAACAAAATCAGCCTACGTTGGGATTCAAACAGCTACAATGAAGAAAGTAGTCTAAAAATTGGTGGGATGTATATACTTTAAAATATTTGGTTACCTCTACATAAGCTAACTCTGGATTCTTTGGTACCTGTAGCAAAGGGCAAAAATTCACAAGGCCTGGACAAAAGTAGCCTGTCAGATTTAAATATACTGGTTTCAATTTTGTTGTGCTCTCATTTAAAAATATTTTTGGATTATTAACGGATTTATCAAAATGTCATATGTTTTATAAAACTGATGTCTCCTCCAATATCCTGGAAAAGGTAATAAATAAGATGCTTTTTACCTTGTTGAAAGCTATTGTGAAGACAATTGACAAATGTTGCTAATATAGTTGCTACATTCATCACTTGCCAGCACTGGGCAAGACCAAGAGTAAAAAGTTCATTCCAATAAGCTTTCACCAATGATATGCTGTTTTCTTGCCTATTAAAAACAAAAGCACAAATAAGATAATATTAAAATAAATTTTATAAACTTTACAACTGATCCATATATTTAAAAATAAAATATTACTGAACTAAAATTATTGTAGAAACACCAATTGGGCAAGGACTTGATCAATTGTTTTGTACAGCTGATAGCAATTGATAAGGAATGCTAAGAAATTTAAATATTAGCTAGTTCATTATCAATCAGCCAGTTTATAAGAACAATTACAAGTAATATTTAAAACTAAAAATGTTAGGGTTTTCATCTCATATATCATAAAAACGGATGGAATAAATACTATTTAAAAAAAAATAAAAGCAAAAGCATACATTAAAAAACCTTTCCCAAGCTTTCTTTTGCTTTGAATACAGGTAAATATTTTTTTTTAAAAAGGGCAATTAGAATTAGTTCACAGGGGCCGGCCCGTGGCTCACTCGGGAGAGTGTGGTGTTGATAACACCAAGGCCCCGGGTTCGGATCCCATATAGGGATGGCCAGTTTGCTCACTGGGTGAGTGTGGTGCTGACAACACCAAGCCAAGGGTTAAGATCCCCTTACCGGTCATCTTTAAAAAAAAAAAAAAAAAAAAGAATTAGTTGACAGTAGGTAAGCAACAAATTTGATACCCAGAATTTGACTACTTATAAAAAGAGACAATAAAGGCTACAAGCCCTTTCCCGAATTTCTGAATAAGGAATATCAGCAGCATAAGGGAGTGGAAAAAGAATTAGAATAGGAGTCAAAGCACCAGGATTTTAAACCCATTCATTTATTGTCCCATTGAAATTGGAAATAAGCTTCCCTGCTATTCATACTGCTTAACTATACAAAATGCAGAGACACCATCTGTCCTGTATCTTGCTTAGAGTTATTAAGAAGTGCAAATATAAGAATTATGTAACCAGGCCATGACATAAAGTACATGCCAGGCACTGTCCTAGGCACTGAAGAAATAGCAATTAACAAGATGGATTCAGCCTGCCTTCATCAGAAAAAGAAAGGAAACTTAAATATATAATTTCAAATAATATACATACATATACATAAGATTATACATACATTAAATTAGTTACAGGTAATAAAGATTCTGCATTACTATAAAGTAGGGTGAAATATTAGAAAATGGGGAGGGTTCAGGTAAGGTGGTAACATTTGAATCACTTGAGTAGAGAAAGATGAGAGAGAATTTTAAAAAATAAAATAAAATCTAGGGGAATAGTATTCCAGGAAGAAGAATAAGGGAAAACTTGCTAAGGTAAGAATGAGCATATAGAAGGTGCCCAATAAAAACTGTCAAATCAATTACTAAATGCTGTCTTATCTTAGAATGTCCTTTCTGCACCTAGTTTTCCTAGTTAATACCTATTCATCCCTTAAAAGACAACTCAGAGCACACTTTCTTGAAGAAACATTCTCTCACCACATTTCTCTCCCAACACAGTTAATTACTCCACCTTTGGTGTCACCTATACACTTACATTTTATACTTATTTCATCGTATCCTAATTTATTGTTTTAGGGGTCTGTCTCCCATACTAGAATAAATCCTCATTGAAGGCAGAGATTCCCTTATGCATTTCTGTATCTCAGTGAATAGCACAGTATACGACTTACAAAAGAATTCAAAAAGTGATTTCTGATCTCAGGGGTAAAGAAGAGGCATAAGTGAGAACTTAGAAAAGACAGAGTTAGAAAAGCTGTGGGCATGGGCTTTTACAATTAAGCAATCTTTAAACCAAACCTATGTATTTTATTGTAAATAAGATAATGAAATTATAATATTTCTTTCCTTTCTCCAAAGAGATTTACATTGGTAAGAACATCCTGATAGGACATATATACATCCTGAAAAATGGTACTTAAATTTTTTTCTTCTTAATAAACCTTTAAAATTAGGATAATCAATGTATTTAACAGAAATCATTCATTAAGAATCACAGCCTTCTTTATGACATTACATTTTATTAAAGAATTAAATATACTTGAAACAAAAACTAATATTGCCAACTTAAGAGCCACAGAAAATAATTTTTCACATAGGGAATTATTGAGATGAAATTTTAACTCCAAGCTGACCTGTTTTCTACTCAGTATCTGTGAAGGATTTGCCATAAGAAATTGGCTATTAGGGCTGGACGGTTAGCTCAGTTAGTTAGAGCTCAGTGTTGTAACACCAACACATCAAGAGTTTGGATCCCCATACCAGCCAGCCATCAAAACAACCCCCCAAACCAAACAACAACAAAAATTAACAAACAAAAAAGAAATTGGCTATTAAAATTATTTTGAGGGCCGAGCCCGTGGCGCACTCGGGAGAGTGTGGGCGCTGGGAGTGCAGCAGCGCTCCCGCTGCGGGTTCAGATCCTATATAGGGATGACCAGTGCGCTCACCCCGCTCACTGGCTGAGCGCGGTGCAGCTGGTCACAAAAAAAAAAAAAATTATTTTGAAAGTAAAGTTTAAATGCAATGAAAACCAGAATAGCAGCCCCCCAACTGCAGTTTCACTTTCCATGGTTTCAGTTACCTGTGCAATCCGAATATATTAAGATATTTTGAAAGAGAGAGACCACATTTGTAGAACTTGTATTACGGTATATTATCATAATTGCTCTATTTTATCATTGTTATTGTTAATCTCTTACTGTCCCTAATTTATAAATTAAACTTTATCATAGGAAAATATGTATAGAAAAAGAAATAGCACACATAGGGTTGAGTAATATGTGGTTTCAGGCATCCACTGGATGTCTTGGGACATATCATCCTTTGATAACCTCCATATAGAAAATGATTAAGATTTCAATCTCAGTTAAACAAAATCAAAGGAAATCAAAATAAAAGATAACAAGCTACTATTAGCATTTACCAAAAAAGTTGGGGTGGGCTGGCCAGTTAGCTCAATTGGTGAGAGTGTGGCTTTATAATACCAAAGTCAAGGGTTCGGTTCCCTGAGCCAGCCCCCACCAACCCTCCCGACCCCCCGCCAAGAAAGAAAAGTTGGAAAGAACTGAGAATTGAGGAGGGTGTAAGGAAATGAGCATTTGTTCTCATACGTTGCTGATGTGAAACTGGCTCAACACCTTTTCTGAGGACAATTTGGCAGTACCTATCAAAAGTTAAAATGTACACCTTCTGAGACCCAGCAATTCCACTTATAAAAGTCTATTTTATAAAATACTAACAGTTAGCAAAAATATATATACAATGCTACAATGCACATTGCAGCATCAGATATAACAACAAAGAAAACTGGCAACAATCCAAACATCTACTAAGGGATGAGTAAGTAAATTATAACAAATCCATAAAATGGAATACTAGGTAGCCACTAAGAAAACTAGAGCAAATTTACATGTGCTGACATAGAAAAAAGCCCATAATATAAGTGTAAAAAGCAAGACAAAGAATAGGATGTATAAATGTGTGTGTGTTATTTGTTTAATAAGCATGGCATGAAAAAAATCGGGTAGGACACCAACCTGTTAACAGTGGGTTTAGTTACCTCTGGAGAGAGAGAGTGAGGGTTTACTTTATAGTTATTTCAGTATTACTTTAAACGTGAAGAAAAAGTTAAAAGCAAACATGAAGAAAAAGTTTGAAGTAATTTGGTCTTTACCTGAACCTCTGATTCTGAAGAAAAGGAAAAATAACAAAAAAAATCAGAGCTGGCCTGTATTACACCTAGTAGTAAGGAAGTACCCTGACATTATTAGGGAGGCTCAGAGAAAAGGTTAAGGAGTAACAGTGTGGAGGATGAGAAACACCAAAATTATTACTAAGGAAAAAAAGATGAAAGTGGCAATTGAGGAAGAAACTGCCAGATTATCTTGTGTCCAAAGGAAAAGCGAAAGAGCTAATTGTAGAAATCAGTTGCAGAAAGACATCTATTGCACTTTTATCCAAAACAAAAAACAATAAACCCTTGTAGTACAGCTAGCTATGTTGTTCAAATATGTTTTTAAGAAGTTCATTAGATTAGGACAAAAAAAAGCAAGTCCCCTTTAAAGAGGAGGTTCCTAAGAGGACTATTATCTATTTTGTAGAAAGCAGCGGGTTAGATAAATTTACCTTCATTATCTCACCTAAATGGCACAGCTCAGAAATAAGTGTTTCTGCTCCTAATTTACAGATGTGGAAACTGAGCCTCATTTAAGTAACTTGATACAAAGACACAAAAGCCAGCAGATGAATAAAACCAGAATTTGAACCCAGATATTCAAAGCCTATGCTCTTTTATAAATCATTACACAATTTACCAAGTAAAATGCAAAAGTCGAATTTTTCAGTAGATACTTCCCATTGAAGGCTAATATTTTATGACAGTAAGCACATGTTTGCTACCAGTTTTTTCTTGTTAGGAAAACAAAACAAATGACTATGGTAGTCAAATTTTACTATTTTCAAAACTATTTCCTTTGAGAATCAAAAGGAGCTGGGTAGAGAATATAGCAAAGATACTTTCAGGTACCCAGAAAGCAATGTTAAGTGCTTAAAAAAAAAAAAAAGCATTAAGTTGACTAATAGTAAATACATCAACTTCTTTTTACAAATAGGTATTTTTCTCTAACTACTGTACTTTTAAAAATACTGTACATATTTTAATAACTCACTAAAATACATATGTAGGTCTCACAATTAGAGATTAGATCATTGTTTATATTATTTATTTTGATAAAGGAATAGGACATTTCTCATGTACACCATAAACCCAAGACATTCTTCTTTTCCTGGTAGCATCTGTTTGAAACGAAGGCATGGTCCTTGGGGAAAAATCATTAATATACAGCAATAAACCCACAAAGCTAAGGTTTCAAACCCACAAATTTACAGGAAACATTACATTGTCTCAATGGCATTTTAAAAGATTCAACTTTCAGGCTTAGCATTTAATGGAAGGGTGATAAAATAACTCAGTAAATAAAGTCTCCTGTGGCAAATGGTGGTGGCTTGGAACATTTGGTTACATTATAAGAATCTAGTTAGACAGGACTATTTCCACACTTCAGGCAAATCATGCCAAGTAACCCCCACTACTCCTCCAACTGAATCTTCTTTCTACCGTATAAAAAACTGAATTCCTCTAAGTACTGAAACTACAAATCTTAAACAGAAAATCATTATCCTTGTAAAATACAGGCCCTTATATAATACAAATGGTACTAACCATGCACCGTTTGAGTCTTTAAGCTACTGTTCCCTTCCATTAAAGTGAGTGATTAAAACAAACTTGACTGTTAGAATACGATTTAAGTTGCTTATCTGTTTCTCTCCATAAAATTGGCATTTTGTTACCAACTTTTGTATCTAAAGATAAAAATGCAACCAGTGCCAGTTTCTAGATGTAGAATAGCTTTTATTTCCACATAAAAGAATTTTTCCACTACTAGTACTTAATCCTCATCCATCTGATTAAGTCAACACACAAGATCTATAAGTTACCTAGACAGGGATAAAAATAAGAGTTTATGCAGCAGTTAATGGCCTTGATTGCTAGATCAATAGTTATTCTAATTACAAAGAATCCTGTGGCTGTTACATGGAAACATCTATCAATACAGATCACAAAGAAATGTGGCTACCAGTATAACAGGAAACCTCAGGCTTTATTTTTGGTTTCTTCAACATCTGGATTATTTCCAAAGACAATCACATTCAATTTAATAGAAGTACATAAGATCAACAGTGTTATGAATAATCCAAGGAGTTCAAATCACTCCCCCCAATTCCTTCCTTTCGTTATTTTACTGTAATAATAGCCTATTATGAAAAATATCAACAGGTTACTTTTCATGCATAAGTATGCCAGTTACAAGCTTAGCAAACTTCACTTAATGCTTTAAAATTAATAAACTACTAATATGTAAATTTACATTGTATTTTAATTTTTTTCTGAAAAAAACAGACATTCTGAAAGTTGAATGTTATTTTAGGGCTAACAATTGTTTTAAAATTGAACCATATTCTAACAGGCTTTTAGTCTATGTAATTGTACTATTTAAGTACATGATTTAATGCATGGTATATATAACACTGATTAATAAAACAAATTATAGTACTGAATTACTTTCATTCAACTCTTTATATGCCTATTACAGTCATGATTCAGATGTTTCTTAGTTATATTCAAAATATTCCCTAAAGATAAGGGATGGGCAGTTACTATTCCCATTTGGTTGGGAAAACAGAGACACAGGACACGAAAGCACATTGTTTACAAAATCATACCGGTAAGGAGGTTCCTGTGAGTAGAATAAAAACTTTCTGGCTACGGGCTTAACTTTTTCCATACTCTCCCCTTTTCATACCAGTTACTCTGAAGCAATCTAAACAAATTAGGCAAACTTTAGGTAAAGCTTTGGTTTCTTATAGTAAATCATTTTCCATTTCATCTGATTTTTAGAGAACAGAATACAGATGCACTCTTTAGTGGTGAGACCAAACCTCTAAATCATTGTAGTGGTGCTATGGAATTTTCCTTCTCTCTTTTTTGAAACACATGATTGGAAAACAATAATCTATTTTTAAACATAATCAATGTAAGCAAATTTCAGCTCCTCAGTAACACACCTGGGATGATCGTAGAAACAGTGGAGGTGGGAAACAACAACCTAGGGCATTCCTGTGGCCTCTCTATCTTTAAGCCAATCAAAGACAGCCTATTACAAATGCTAGCCATTATCCATCAACTCCACTTATTATATTCCATTCAAATTGTTAACTTAAAATATGGATGCTCTTCCACATAAAATTAATATAAAGACTAGTTAGTTGCCATACTTTGTTGTATGCAGGTACTTCAATAAGTTTGTGGAAAAAGAGAATTAAAGATAATATGAATCTCTCCATGAATTTTTAGAAGACCCTCATATAAATGACACAACTTAAAGTTATAATATTATACCATTTTTTCTCCTTTGATGCAAATCCTACTAAAATGAAAATTCTTGCTCAATGTACATTTGTACTACAAAATCACATTTATATTCAAGGACTTCAAAACACTCACCCTAGAGCCTGGAAAGAAGGAATCGAAAGTGCCCAGTGCATTGATAAGAACAGCAGTCTGGAGGCAGACTCCCCAATGTAGTGCACATTCAGGTACTCAGGCATAGGAGAAGGCATGGTGAGCTAGTATGAACAGGGATTTAGGTAAATTATCTTATGACTGAAAGTTCTAAATGATCATTTCTTTGATAAAGTTGAATGTAAACATAACACATCAAATATGAGTCTAATATATTCACAAAAAAGGCTAATCTCGAAATAATCCAAGTCACTGGATTTTATAGCTAACAAGAGGGCTTAGAATAAATGAGTAGACCACGGTTTCTACAAAACAATATTCAGACAAGCAGAATCTCACTTAATAACTATCAACCATGAAATTATCTGGTTGTATTTTTAAGTTACTTCCTACTTGGTCTGACAATGTGTTTTTTCCTTCTCTCTTTCCCTCTCTCCATTAATCATGATATACAACAAATTCAGTTTAAGAAACAATCCTGTATGGTAAATGTTCCTTCCTTTTCTTTTAGGCTGCCGGGTTAACAAATTCAAATGCTTACAGGGCCTGGAGAGTAATGAGTGAAGCAGACCTGCTGGTGCCAACTGGGGAGAGCGTACTCCCAGACAAAGGGCATGGCTGTGACTCGAATTCAGCACAAGAAAACATATAGGAATTTGGGATCAGCACTACCAGCTCTTCCACTTTTTCAAAGAGCATGTTCTGTGATAAATCTCCCTATTTAAAAAAACTGGTACTGAATAAAAAAGTATTTAAAAAAATAGTCTACAGGTAAAACAAAATACATCTGTGAACATATGACTCAAAAGCTGTCAGTTTCTATTGCTGATCTTAGGTAGATATTTTAAATGTTTGACCATTGTTGAAAGTAAATATCCCACATGAAAACACTTCTGAAAGCATTTTAAAAAATCCTGTTAAAAGAGAACTTTTACTGCTATACATGAAATGCAATTTCACCCATAAGAAACATTTTTCTCTAGTCTGAAATTATTGAAATGATAACAGTATCAATTATAGTGAGGATATAGGGAAACAAGTATTAACACACTACTGAGGGTGGGTAAACTGGAGGGCAATTTGGCTGTTACCTAATAATATTTTTAAAATAAGTCCAGCTTAATACCACTTCTAAACCTCTATTCCAGAAAAATACTTGCACGCATGCACCAAAAAAGCACACTTATAAGGATGTCCACTGTAGCTCTACTTTTAATGGTGAAATTAAATTCTGGCAACAACCTAAATTTCCATCACTAGGGAAAAGAAGTACCCATGCTATAGAATACGTTATAGGTATTAAAATTAATAAGATAAATTGAGTTGTAATGGCACAAAAAAACCTCACAGACATCTAAATGGAAAAAGTTGCAAAACAGTATACAGATGATGAAATTTATGTTAAAGAGTATGTATGTATGCATATATATATATATAACATTAAAAGGACAGAGGGAAACACTATACAATTAACAGTGGCCACCTCTGGGGTGGGGGTGGATGTGCCCATATGCACTTTTCAATATATAGCTTTCAGTAGATTCTCAAAAGTGTCTATGATGCCAAACAGATCAAAAGGTTTTTATCAAAATGATATAAAAGTTCTTTAGAAATGTTAAGATAAAAAATGTCTGCCTGTGTTCAATATTAGCCACAAATGGTTTACCTGTTTATAAATGGTGCCAAGTAATAAAACAACAGGGCAGTTAACAATTGAAATCCCATGCATGAGAAGAAAATTTTTTAAATGTTTAAGAATGTTTGAGAAATGTTTACTGGAGCAGTAATTAAAATACAATTATTTAAGACAATTCTTAAGAGAATTGTAGGCAAGAAAATATTAAATATCTTAAATGTAAATATCAGGATGCAACTATTTCTACACATGAGTATATTAAAAAAAAATTGGGAACCATCATACCTTCTCAGAATTGTCAAGGCAAGTAGGAAAAAAAGCCTGAAAAATTAGGGGAATTACCAAAATTTACTAGTTTTAGGGGGAAGGGATAAGTAAGATGCAAAACAACAATAAAGGATACCCTTTGCTAAATAGTTTAAAATTGGGATTGGTCAGTTGGCTCAGTTGTTTAGAGTGCAGCCTTATAAAACCAAGGTCATGGGTTTGGATCCCTATACTGGCCAGCTGCCAAAAAAAAAAAAGTTTAAAATTACCTTTAACCAAATAACATACTTACAATAGGTAAAAACAGGATATAAAGGGCTTTGATTTACAACGATGGTAACTCTGAAAACCTACATTAATCATAAAATCAAAGTAATTTGCAATGTATAGTGAAGGAACTCACTATTTAAAATGCTACCATGTATCACTTTATAAAGAGAGGAAATGTTTTGTAATTTCTCTGTTTTACATACTTAGTACACCTCTAGTATTATGAATCAGAAAGCTAATGCTGGCTAAAAAACCAATCCATTCAAAAAGTCTTTTAGGCTGAAAAGACAAAGATTTCTTCCTCTATATAGAGAAGGTGAGTTTCTACATCTTTTTAACATCTTTATAGATATTAAAGCTTCCTTAAAATGCCTGTGGATCTTTAGGTTTATAAAATGAATTATAGATATTTTTCAAATTTAAAAAACTTAATATATTAAGCTCATTTTTTAAAGTGTTGGCAGAACTAAACTAGACAAACATATTTTAGAACTTCTTACTTGCCTTTGCAATTACCTTTCTAGTACAGTTTCTGTATAGAATTCTGATAATAGCGTGCAAGGTATAGCTTTTAGAATATCATTTGACTTGAGCTGGGAGATCTTAATTCTATTTCCAACTTTTCATTAATTACTTGTATGACCCTTGGATTACACATTCACTCAGTAACCAATTACTGAGAGTTCACTGTGAGCAGCTAAGTGCTGTTGTCTCTGTTGGGGAATAAAATGTGAACTGAATGAGCTACAGAAAAGGCTAAGAAAGGAACTGGCATGTGTGAGAAATGACAGGCAGTTGGATCAGAATGTGGAGGGCCCTAAAAGTCATCTTATGGACACTAGACCTAATCCCAAATGGGCAACGGGAAGCTATTAAAGACTTTGAAGTAGCAGAGTGATACAATTGCATTGAGTTTAAACAAATATCATGCTGGTACCAGTGAACAGTAATAGATGGGGAATATAGACTGGAAGCAAAGATATTACTACAACAGTTCACATAAGAAATTTCAAAAGCCCTGAAATATGATGATGGAATGAAGATGACGGGAAGAAATTCAAGGACTAGAACAATTAAGATTCAGTTATAGAACAGAGGGGAGTGAGGCATAGGAAGAATGATGACAACTCCCAAGTTGCAAACATGAGTGTCTAGAAGGACTGTGATTCTAATATTGAGATAATAAATGTGAGAGAAAAACAATTTTGGAAATCATTTGATTTTTGTCTCAACTACTTATTTCTAAAGTGGGAATACTATATCTACCTTAATTATTCAATTAGGAAAGTATAAGAATCAGGTAAGACAAGGTACAGAAATTGTACCAAAATTATGAAGTTTAATAAAAATGTTAAATACCAGTACTGTTCTAGATTCTTCAGAATGAAACTTCAAGTTTCAGTATTAGACTACTTCTATTTCCTTATTACCAAAATTACTATGAATAAGACACTGAAAATCTATAAATCTCTTTCTTCATCTACAAAATGAAAATAAAAATTTTAACTTCCTTGATAGAATGTGGTGAGGCTTATATGAAAGAAAGTAGGTGAAAATCTGATGGATTTTATTGCATAAAAATGCAATAAAGGAACAAAAATGCTATTTAAGCTCAGTAATTATGAGAAGACTGAGTTATTTGATTACAGATATGAGATCTTAAAAATCATGACCCGAAAACTTTGATGAGAGAACTAACCATGAAATTACCAGGCTCTAGTAACTAAGCAGGGAAATCACTGCAAAGCAAAATTCTTGGCTTCACAAGGCTATAAACAAGAATCAGAGAAAGATGGAGCCTTCCTTTTTGGGAGAGTAAGAAACATTATAGCGCTGACTCTGAGGATACCCAGAATAGAAGAAGTCAAAGATGGAATGGAAAAAAGTCAATTCCAGAAAGAAAAAAAACTTCTATCTAATTCATTTGTCCAAATACTTACTTCAAGGGATCAAAAATTTTAAGGACCAACATCAACAATAACAAAGGTGAACTACTTCTACTCTGTAAAGAAGTACTCTATCCTTTTTCCTTGCAATGGTCTTCTTCCTACATCTTTCCCATTTTATCCTTCCTCTCACTGAAATCCAAAGGCAGAAAATAAAACTAAGAAAACAAAAGAATGTCTTTTATTTAGCATAAGGAAGAACACTGGGAAATCAGTTTTGCCTTGCTCTACCCTTGTCCATCATTCCTACTATGATTTTTAAGAATTACATTATTCCCATTACTTTTTCTTATAGCATTCATAAAAAGTTTTCCTGTACAGTGCAGATAAAACATTTCTATTTTTTTCCATGTAAGTTATCTTAGTAAAATTTTACATGAAAACTGGTTTCACTGATATATTGACTATATCAAATTATAATTATTTAAGTAACTCTGAGTTTTCTCTGTAGCTATTTCTACCAAGTCAAATTTTAAAAATACAAATATTACCATATACAGTTTTGCCAATGTTACATTCATTTTGTGTTCATTGTTTCTATCAGTGATACACATATCTATATATTTTTCAGAAACCCACAAACATTTATAATCTATAGTAAAATTATAAGCAATCACCCACAGGTATTCCAGAACTGCTATGCACTGCTAATGGAAATCTATGTATGTTCAATCATTTTGCACATATCTTGCTAACAGTATTCACAGCTGGCAGAAGAAAGACATAGAGTGGTTAAAATTGAGGGGTCAAAACAGTAAGGTCTTAATGAAGGGCCTCGACAATGAGTATATATCTATAGCACTGGTCTAAACATTATTTGAATAACAAGTCAAATACCAGAAAGTGATTTTCTAGTTTTTACATGTATTGTTTCTAGTATTTTGCACATATTGTTTCCATCATAAATGAATGTATTTAGTGAAACAAAATAAATTACAAATATACCTTCTCCAAAATGGTTAAAAGTATAAAAAGTTAAAAACCGAAAGTTAAAATGTATTAAATAATTTATACATTCTTACAATAATGCTGAAAGCTAGTTAATTAGGGAGATACATAACAAATGGAGTCCTTTGTAGTTACTATGGTAAAACCAAAATGTCTGAGTCTTAGATATTTACACTAAAGAAGTAGTAGTTAGGCATTGAACAAAAGCAGTGCTCCAACACATCACCAATATCAATACTTAAAGTTAAAAAAAAATGTTTAAATAGTTCTAAAAGCTAACTTTTATATATCTAAACTCATTACTTTTATTATAACTAACTTACAGATGCATTACTGAGCCATTATCTTATACAGCCAGGTGTGTTCTAGCTGCTGTTGTGAAATTCTGTCACAAATATCTGATTTTAAAAGGGATAATTGATTTTTGAAAGGTAAATAAAAATCAAATAACAACACAACATAAAAATTTTTAAAAATGTATTGAGATACCCTGAAAGCTACATGTGAATCACTCAGAAGTGGCCCCTCTTTTTCGATGTAATTTATGCTCGAATCTCCAGCAATTAGGTGTACGCCTCCTTCCATGCCCTCTATGGAGCTCTGACAGGCTGTGCTCTCTCCAGGATTCAATGCTTTTGCAAGAGTGTCGAATGCCCTATTAAGGAGACATTAGAAGCTGTGAGCCTAGCTAATCTCCACAATAAAATGGAAATTCTATTTAAAAAAATTAGAATTAAGACTTAATCCTAAAATACTGTTTTGAAAACAGAACTTTGATGAATCACTGAGCACTCTATTTCAGTGACATCTATGACTCTCTCCAAAAGCAACAAATTAAACTTCATATGTATAATATGAAATACTACATTACCATATTAATGTATTATCAGGGAATTAAAGTCTCTTTTTAAAATCTTGTATAATTAAGGGGGAGAAAAATTCTTTTTTTTTTTTTTTCTTTTTTTTTTCTTTTTTTCGTGTCCGGCAACGGATTGCAACCCTCAGTGTCCCGCCCATACCGGACCGGGACCGGCAACGGGATCGCAACCCTCGGTGCTGCGCCCGCCCCTTGCTCAGCCAGTGAGCAGGAACCGGTCTGTATGTGGGATCCGAACCCTCGGCGGGAGTGCCGCCGCGCTCCCAAGCGGTGCACTGTAGCAGTGCACCACCGGGCCGGCCCGGGGAGAAAAATTCTTAAACTCAGGTATAAAAATATGCTTTGAAAAATTATACATTTGTACTACAAGATATTAGCCCATTTATATTTTACATACAGAAGTTATTTAGAAGGAACTAAAGTAAGAATTTCTGTTGACTTTACTGCAATGTATACAACACAAAGTTAGGTCTTAATTTTATTTAAAATAAACTTGTAGTTACATAGCTAAATCTAAACTGTAAGAATTTGAGATTAAGAGTGATAAATAATTAACGGTTAGCAAATAATTATTCAAAATAGCTCCCCATATTTTTCTAGAGTTCCTTAAAATCTCATTTCAACAAAGTACTTATCATGACTCATAAATGCAGTTTATTCAATATTTTCAATGATTTGGTTTCTATATCCTAAATATTAACACAGATTGAGTATCCCTTATCCTGAAACACCTGGGATAAGAAGTGTTTCAGATTTTTTCAGATTTCGGAATATTTGCAGAATACATACCAGCTGATCATCCCTAACCTGAAAATCCAAAACATGAAATGTTCCAATGAGCATTTTCTTTGAGTGTCGGGTACATGCTCAAAAAGTTTCAGATTTTAGAGCATTTTGGATTTCTAATTTTCAGATTAGGGATGCTCAACTTTTATTGACAGAATGAAGAACAGAATTCTAATACTGTTTTCCGCAAGTATAACTTAAAACTGTAGTTGATTCAACTAAGTCTTTTACATATATTTTCATTACTAGAAATTTGGCGGGGGATAGTGATCAACATGACTGCCTAGTAAGACAAATGTTTCAGTCTATATACACAGAAGATAAAATGTGACAACTAAAATATTTGAAATGTTAGACCCAAATTACCATCTTTAGAGAGAAAAAAAAATCCTAAATTTTAAGACCACACTTCTTGTTCCTGTTATTCAGAATGTAACCTGTTGGACATTTTATACTAAATGTAGTTTTTCAGTTAAAACTTACTATGCCTTAAATTTTCTAAGTCTAATAGAAATACTTGTTTTCTGAAACTTCTGTAAATAGTATTTAACATAAAAGCATTTTAAGAAATTCAAGAGTACTTCAAAAAGTTCATGGAAAGATTTGTATTATCTTTTAATTCTAATTTTCCATGAACTTCTTGAAGTATCCTCGTACCAAGACACTTAATTAAGAACTCAAGATCAAAATAGACTTTACCTTGAAACATCACCATTGGTCTGCATTTCTTGGTGAAATTCACACAGAGAGGTATCACCATTGCTTAAGCTTTCAATCACAGACATTTCATTACTGTTTTGAGAAAGATCTTTAGTTTTTCCAAGATTTGCTAATGATGTAACCACACTGGCCAATGTACTTAAATCTCCCTGACATGATTCAGCCTTTATTAAAAAAAGAAAAGGGAAGAGGATATTAAAATTCTGCAAATTGGTATCAGTATATTTTAAAATCTGAAATATCTAATTCTAGATTATGAATAGCCAAAAGTACTCTAAGAGGATAAATGAAACCTAGAAAGTTAAGTCAAAGTGTTCCGAGCTTGTAGAAACTTCTTGAGGAAAACACAAGTTTGAAAACATCAGGTACATTTCTTAAGAAATGTTTACATAAGTTACTTTAAATAAAAAACTGTACTTACTAATTATCCGTGTTAACAGTTGCTTCCTCCATAAAAAGATACTAAATTAGACGATCTTTCAAGTTGACTTTAGCATTAAAATTCTGATATTATGATAATTTCTAAAACATATTATATAAACTAAAAACTTGTCTAGAATGTAAAGAATACGAGTGAAAAGAGTATAAAAAAGGCAAATGCATTATTGAACAGACTTCCTAGGATGTCAACTTTTACTAGGCACTGTGTTAAACACAAAAATGAAATCAATGAGTTGCCCATTTTTTTCTTCACTTTTTTTCATGTTTTTGGGCCGCTGGCTGGTGCAGAGATCGAACCCTGGACGTTGGTGTTATAAGCACCACATTCTAACTGAGCTAACTGGCCAGATCCCATCTTCACTTTTTTTTCTTACTGGAGTTGAAAAACCTCTTTATACATTTGTACTACAAGATATTAGCCCAGAATGCGGATAGAAATACGGACTGTCTTTGTCTTCATTTTCTATGCTTGTCAATAATGTATATATTTTTTATCCATTAGCTGTAATTCTTTTATAAAAAGAATTTTTCCCTTAACTTTGATTGCTCAGAAATATAATTTGTACAGGAAAGGCAGAAAAGTACTTAATTTTTCTTCCATTTAGTAATCAATTTTCAGAGCAATGAGTTGATATGCTAGCAATCCCCAATGGTGACAGATGAGCTTTTCTGAGTATCATTTTAAATTCATGGATTTTTATATATTTGATGTATTTCAATTCATTTTTATATTCTTTTAATGCTTAAATTATCCTATCCTAACCTCATGAGAGGCCCTTCATGTTGCCTTCTATGGCCTACTGCTGTGATCACTCAATGGTATTTTTTTCAATTTATACTTTCCTTTATGGTTTTCTTAGTGTTCTTAACCCTAAAATAATATATATGTTCCATTTTTTATACCAATTATTTAGCTTATGTGAAATTGATTTTGGTGAATAAGAGTAAAACAGTTTTTGTGTTTTCCCCAAATTAATCACTAGTACCAGAATCATTTACTGAACACCCTACTAGTTGCCAAATTCTTACATAATTACTACTTATATACTTATATTTTATTTAATCCTTATAACAACTTTGTGAAATAGGGATCATCATCCCTTTATCACCAACCAGAAGAATGACCCATCGCACACAGCCATGAAATAGTGGAGGCAGGGAGCTGGCTGGTTAGCTCACTTGGGAGAGCTTGGTGCTGATAACACCAAGGTCAAAGGTTCAAATCCCCATACTGGCCAGCCACCCCCCAAAAAGAAAAGAAAATAAATAGTGGAGGCAGGACAGGAAGTCAGACCTGTCTGACTGAAAAGCACATGTTCTTTACCCCTGCTTCAAACAGCATTCTTAAATATGAGTAAAAATAATTACAATTTTTAAGTGTTTTAATTTTCAACTAAAATTTAGAAGCTCATATATTATCTTCCATTAGGCAACATCTCTGACTAGATTTTTAAGTTTTTTGCCACTGAAGACTCTCAGGCAACACAGAAAAATATCCTGTGACTTGATGGTTTTAGGGACATTTGTCAGAGAAACTTTAACACACAAGGTTGTTATATCTTAATACAAAGACATACAAAAAACAAAGCACAGTGTCTGGGAAAATAGTGGTTTCTCAGCAAAACTTATTTCCCTTCTTTTCCTAAAGAAGTTAATATGTCAGTGAAATTGCAATTACCATTCTAACCTTGAATCATGTAGACAAGGCTAAGTGAAGTCTTGTAATTCCAAAATATATGAGGCCAAATTGCCTCACTTACTAACTAAATGTTGTAGTAGATTGAATTATGTCCCCCCAAAACTTCCTGAAGCTTGAACTGTGTTCCCTAAGTTTTATGTATTAGAAACTTAGCCACCACTATGATTGTTAAGAGGGTGGAAAATTCTGTTTTGGTAACTGAAAGGTGGAGCCTTGAAGAGGTGATTGGATTGTAAGACCATGATGTAGTGAATGATTAAAAATGGTGGTCAAGGGTGTGGTTCTGAGGGCTTTAAAAGAAGAGGAGAGTCTGTCTCTCTCTCTCTCTGTTCTCTCTGCTTCCATTCTATCTTGCAATGTGAGACCCCTGGTTGCTGTTGCCACCACCAGATAGACTTTGGACTTCCCAGCCTCAGAAACTGTAGCAATAAATGTTTTTCTTTATAAATCACCCAGTTTCGGGTATTTTGTTATAAGCAACACAAATAGACTAATACAGAAAACTGGTACCAGGAGTGGGGTAACACTTATAGAAGTTCCTTATAACAAATACTTGAAAATGTGGAATCAGCTTTGGAACTGGGTGTTAGGCAAAGGTTGGAGGAGTTTGGAGGACTCAGAAGAAGACAAAAAGACGAGTGAAAGCTTGGAATGTCTTAAGAGACTGGTTACGAGGTTGCAAGCAGAATGCGGATAGAAATACGGACTGTAAAGACCATTCTAAGGAGATCTCAGACAGAAATGAGGAACTTATTGGGAATTGGACAAAAGACAACTGTTGCTACACCATAGCAAGGAACTTGGCTGCACTGTGTCCATGCCCTTGGACTTTGTGGAAGGTGAGACTTAAGCATTGTGAACCAGAGTTCTTGGTGGAAGAAATTTCTAAGCAACAGAGCACTCAGGAAGCTGCATGGCTACTTGCAACAGCCTATGCTGAGTTATGGCGGCAAAGACGTGACATAAAGCCAGAATTTAAAAGGGAAGAAGAACATAAAAATTTGGAAAATTTGCAGCCTGGCCATGTGGCAGAAAAGCAGAGAACATGCAATGGTGCAGCCCAGTGACCAATAACTAAGAAATTAGTACAAAGGAAAGGGATTATCAAAAGGAGGAGAAAAAGGCCCTGAAGGCATTGTAGAAGCCTCTGGAGCCAACCCCTCCATTTCAGGCCCAAAGGCCTAGGGAGAAGGAATGGTCTTGGGGAACAGGCCTGAGGCACCCTCCACAGACTTACTGCTCAGGAAGCTGCTTCCAGCACCAGCACCCCAGTTGCGAAGGCTGCTCCAGCCATGGCTAAATTGGTCCCAGGTGTGGCTGGACCAGCAGCTTTGGAAAATACAAGCCAGAAGTTTTGATGGTGTCCACATGGTGTTAGATCTATAGGCTCGCAGAATGCCAGAGCTGGTAAGGCTTGGGAGCCTCCACCCAGATTTCAAATGATGTATGGAAAAGCCTGGCGGCCCAGGAAGAGATCTGTCACAGGGGTGGAGTCACTGCAGACAACCTTCACTAGGGGAATGCCCAGCAGAAATGTGGGGTCGGAGCTGCAGCAGAAAAACCCCATCAGCACCATGTCTAGTGGAGCCATGAGAGCAGGACTGCCATGGAGACCCCAGACCTGTGGAGCTACCAGTGTGCAATGCTAGCCTGTGAGAGCTAAAGCATCACCTGAGACCAAGAAAGCCATAGGAGTGGAGCTGCTAGAGGACTTAGGGACCCAACCCCCACACCAGTATTCAGAGGACATTGAACATGGAGTCAAGTTACAGGATTCACTAGCTTTGAGATTTAATGCCTGCCCTGCTGGGTTTTGGACTTGTTTGGGACATGTTTCTCCTTTCTTTTGGTCTATTTCTCCCTTTTGGAATGGGAATATGTACCATGTTTGTCTCACCACTGTATCTTGGAAGTAGATAACTTGTATTGATTTCACAGATGGAACTTTGAACTTTGGACCTTTGAGTTGAAACAAGTTAAGACGTTGGGGATGAAACAAACGTATTTGCATATGAAAAGGACATGAGTTTGGGGGAGCCAAGGGTGGAGTGTAGTGGATTGAATTACGTCCCCCCAAAACTCCCTGAAGCTTGAAATGTGTTCCCTAAGTTTTACATATTAGAAACTTAGCTCCCACTGTGATTGTTAAGAGGATGGAAAATTCTCTTTTGTTTTTTTTTTTAAAAAAGATGACCGGTAAGGGGATCTTAACTCTTGACTTGGTGTTGTCAGCACCACGCTCAGCCAGTGAGCGAACCGGCCATCCCTATGTGGGATCCGAACCCGGGGCCTTGGTGTTATCAGCACCGCACTCTCCCGAGTGAGCCACGGGCCGGCCCGGAAAATTCTCTTTTGGTAACTGAAAGGTGGAGCCTTGAAGAGGTAATTAGATTGTAGGACCATGATGTAGTGATTAAAAATGGTGGTCAAGGGTGTGGTTTTGAGGGCTTTAAAAGAAGAGGAGAGTCTGTCTCTCTCTCTCTGTTCTCTCTGCTTCCATCATCTTGCAATGTGAGACCCCTGGGTCGCTGTTGCCACCACCAGATAGACTTTGGACTTCCCAGCCTCAGAAATTGTAAGCAATAAATGTCGTTTTTCTTTATAAATCACCCAGTTTCGGGTATTTTGTTATAAGCAACACAAATGGACTAATACACATGGCTAAAGCCCAACTTGTAAGGTAGACACTCCTATTATTCTTATTTTATAGATGAGGAAAATAAGACACTAAGAGGTCAAATAACTTTCCCAAAGCTACGCAGCTAGTAAGTGGCATATATAATTTGATTTCAGACCCCAAGTATTTAGAGTGCCTTTCTGGGATTCAGAAAGCAGTACCCCAAAGTATGGCACTTTGACATGTTGAGCACTCTGAACTCAAGTAGACTGGAATGCTTCAGAAGCAGCCTCAGACGCAAGTTCTCTCTGACCTTCTCCTGCCCTCCTGCCTCTTGCTCCTCTTTCTCCCCTGAAGTGAGTCATAGAAACCAGAATTTCTTTTCCCGAAGGCAGGAAACTAGGACCTCTCTCCCCTAAAGCAAGCCATAAAACCTAGAAATATTACTCTAATCTTCTCCCACTTTTCTGTGTAGGAGCTAGCCATAAAGAAATTCTCTGACCTACCATGTCTGAGAGTAGGTCATAATACTCTCATTCCAGAGGTGTCCTGCCCTATACCTGGGAGGAAGGAATGCTACACAGAGAGGTCAAGAAGAATATGAACAAACAGGCCTTACTGGGTTTCCCCCTCAGTGTACCATTAATCATACCCTTTTTGTCCAATCACAGTTCTGTAGAGCTGTCCATTCTTCTTCAAAGCTAAACATAAAAAGTTTTCCCTAGGTCTTTAGGTCTTAATTTCTTCTTTTTTTCCCCTTTTTTGTCTTTTTGTACTGACCGGTAACGGGATCGCAACCCTCGGTGTTGCGCCCGCACGAACGGGTCTCCACATGGGATCTGAACCCTCGGCGGGAGCGCCGCCGCGCTCCCAAGCGGCGCACTCTCCAGTGCGCCACCAGGCCGGCCCTAGGTCTTAATTTCTGAAGGCTCCCATGTCATGTAAAATTTTGATTGAATAAATTTGCTGTGATTTTCTCTTATTAATCCATCTTTTGTTATAGGAGTTTTGGCTGTGATCCTTATGATAGGTGAGAAAACGTAGTATACCTTTTCCACCCTTACAACATCAAGCAACAGTCACTCACAGTGTTATGACATTTTTTGATCAATGACAAAACACAAATACAAGGGGTCTTCGAAAAATTCATGGAAGATTCATATTATCATTTAATTCCATTTTTCCATGAACTTTTTGAAGTACTCTCATATGAGAGTGGTCAGAGGAATAGGGTATTGCCTATAAACTAGGTGTGTAGTGGCTATACCACCTAGGTTTGCTTAAGTATACGCTATGACCTTCACACAATGACAAACTGGACTGACGAAGCATTCCTCAGAATGTATCCCTGTAGTTAAGTGACACATGACTGTATCTAAGAAGTCTGGCAATACATAGGACAAATACACAGGCTCCCTAACATCTGTTTTAAGATATGAGTTTTCAGGAGAAATTACTGCTTCTTGTTCTAAGGGGTTTCTGAAAAGTACAGAAACTCTACATGCTCAATCTGAATAAACAAACCTTTTTTTCTCTAGACCCCTTGCCTAATAAAGAGCTAAGAAAACCCAGGTGACTTGGGTATATAGTATGAGAGCTCTTGTAATCCTATTCCTACTTTTGAGTCAAGTGAATGTTCTGACTGAAGTGTGCTAAGAATTTCTCCTTACATGAAATATTCTAAGTATTATGGCACTAACAAATCTGTAGGGAAACCTAAAACGAATATAAGGAATTTTGCATTTATTATAAATTTCTTTTTCTCAGGATTTTTGTTTCAAGAGGAAAAAAAAGAAACCTGGAAGAAGTTGAGATGTTTGTTGCCTTAATGTCAAAGCTATAAGCTCAGCTGGTTATAGCACAGCCTTGTAACACCAAGGTCAAGGGTTTGGATCCCCATACTGGCCAGCCACACCACCGCCAAGAAAAAAAATTGTTGAAGCTATAATTGTCCTAGTGGAATAATAAACATTTCTACCAAATAGTTGATAACTTATGTCAAAAAGAAAAGCAACTTGCACTAAACACACCTTATCTAGTGTCATCAGCACAGGTGACTCAGTTTTTATTCCAGACTGATGAATATTCACAAACATTCCTGAATCTAATAGTCCTGTTGACCTGTAACAATTAAGTACAAATTTTTAGCCTTAGTGTCACTGGGAAGAAAAACAAATGACAAGCTACTTAATGTCTGTTTTACTATACCTTGCAGTTTCACTATCTGTTACAAAGGTTGGAGTTGCAGCTAATGGGCTTCGGAGGTCTTTTCGGATGTAGATTTTTTCTGTTGAAGCGGCACAGTTGGAAGATTTTTCTCGTGATACTTCTATGGGTTTTCTCTCACACTGAACAGCTACAAAAATGTGTTAAACTATTATATCACAATACAGAATTTATAGGCAATTATACATGTAAGCTCTGGGTCAGCAATTCTGCTAATGGGAGACACAGCTACCATACTGGACTTCAAAGATAACCATCAATCTTTAGAAATTATGTGTAAATTCAACAAAGTTGATTCAGTTTAGTTATTCTCTTTTCTCTCCTTGCTCCTCCACTCTCGTGGTAGAAATGTAAAGGAACTCTTATTTTTTAAAAGCTCACTTTCAGGAAGGAAGAACTGAAGTTAGGAGTCCCTTACCTGTCTATATGAGAGTTTTAAAAAATGAAATAAAATTTAATCAATTGAAAATAATACTAATAGAGAAACACAAGAAGTTCTAAGATTTTTGTTTTTAAGTTAAAGTCAGGGAGATTGAGAAGTAGTTTAACTGCTTGGTCTTCATTTATAAAATATAGGTAATATTGTAATAGTTACAGAAATTTTACTTTATAATACTTAGGAGACAATTTTATGTAGTTGTTAAATATACATTTACTGAAAAACAATAAACTGCAAAGAAAAGCCAAGTTCTGCCATTTATTAGTTGGGTGACTTTGGGCAAGTTTCTCAACTTCTCTGTTTCCTCAAGTGTAAAATGGATAACAAATAGTACCTACTGCAGATAACTGCTATAAGAATAAGTTAATAAATATGCTAAGCACAGTGTTTGGCACAGTGAGAACTCAATCGATATTAACTATTGTCATTATCTTTTTATAGTTTAATCAAAAGGTAGAGTGGTATCTAGTTAGTTATGCTTTTTTGTTTTGCTAATTTCAAACTACAAATACATGCTTGTTACTTGGGTATTCAATAAATACTTGTTGAATAAATAAAAAATACATATGTATATATTCTTATATTTTTAGTAGGAAAACTGTAAGTTTAAAAGCACATATATTTGACATATTTTAATGTGTTAATTTGAACATGTTTCTAGTTTGCCAGAATCCTTAATGTGTTTTCTCTTTTAAAGCTAATACATACAGTCTTGTTTCATTCCAAACGCAATACATCTCTGTAACCTGCAGTATTGACAGCGGTTTCGATGGTGTTTATTAATGATACAGTCTTTTGATCCTCGACATGAATATACTAAATTTTTTCGAATGCTTCTTTTAAAAAATCCTTTGCAACCTTCACAAGTTACTGCTCCATAATGACGACCTAGAGATAAAATATTTAAGAAAATACAAGTCACATATTTTAGAACAGAATTGAAATAAGCCCATTTCTTCCCTTTAAAAAATACATGAGATGAAATTGAGATTTTTGAGTTTCTAACATGAGTTATTACAGAATTAGCACTGGCCAGTTGCCAAAAAAAAGAGAGAGAGAATGGAACAACCATATTCTCTGATAAATAAATAAAATACTATGAAGTTTTTAATTTTATAAGGTAACCTGAACAATGGTATAGAAAATTTGGGAAAGAGGACAAAATTACCCCTAACACATTGCTTAATATAAAAACTACTTTTACTTTTGACATCACTTACAAATTATATTTTTGTTATATATTGTATAGTAGATATTTTAATCTGAAAACTACACTCCAAGAAAAGGATAAAATGTCATCTAGTATTTGAAACAGAATAATCCCTTTACATAGTAAGTTCCACTTTTGAAATTTCTGAAGAAATCTGTAACATTTTGATCAACCTATTATTTCACAAACCATTTCTTCACACATCTATTAACTAATTAAACATACTCTGGGAGCGTTTTTTCATGTACCTGTTGGCCATTTGTATGTCTTCCTTTGAAAAATGTCTATTCATCCCCTTTGCCCATTTTTAATTGGATTATTTGGTTTTTTTACTGTACAGCTGAGTTCTCTGTATATTCTGGATATTAAACCCTTGTCAGATGTATAGTTGTACAGATGTATAGCAAATATTTTCTCCCATTCCATGGGTTATCTTTCCCCAATTAGACAAGCCATTATTAAAAAGACCATGAATAACAAATGCTGGCAAGGATGCAGGGAAGGGGTACTCTCATGTTGTTGGTGGGACTGTAAACTAGTACAGCCATTATGGAAAACAGTATGCAGATTCCTCAAACAACTACAGACAGAACTATCATACAATCCAGCAATCCCACTACTGGGTATATATCCAAAGGAATGGGTAGCATCATGTCGAAGGGATACCTGCACTCCCATGTTCATCTATTTACAATAGCCAAAATACGGAACGAACCTAAGTGTCCTTTGACAGACGACTGGAATACTACGCAGCCATAAAAAACAATAAAATTCTGCTATTTGCAGCAACATGGATGATCTTGGAGAAAATTATGTTAAGTGAAACAAGCCAGACAAGGAAAGAGAAATACATGTTTTCACTTATAATTGGGTGCTAAGAAAGAAAGATAGAGAGTGAAAGAGAGAAAGAAAAGACCACAAAAATTTGTTGAACTTTCAGAAGGAGAGAACAAACCTAAGGTTACTAGAAATGGGGGGGAGGGAGGGACAGGTCGGGTAAAGAGCATAAAGAAAAATCATGATTTGTAATAATGAATGTGCTAAAAAAAAAAAAAAAACACACACACTCTGGAAAAAATTCTAATGGAGGTTTTTGCAACAAAGCTCTGCAAAAGATTAATGGAAACAAACTGGGCCCTTCAACTATATTCCATTGGCACTTATGAATATATATGAGTGGATGTAAGTGCATATTTCTGGTGTGAGGTAACAATGGCTAGAACTAAAATGACTTAACCTGGAGTACTAGTAATATGTTTTGAGAATATCCTGCTCAATTATGCAGAGCATTAAATAAAGGTTAACAAGAGCCTTTTCTACCTCAATAACTCAAATTATACTATATTCCTGGAACAGGGCTCAAGAGGTAGGTTAAAAACTTAATCCAATATATTAAGGATTACAACTCATTTTTAAATGTTTCCTTTGGCAAAACGTCTAGTTTTCACATTCAAACATTTTTCTACAGGTTTACTTTCAAAAATTGAAACTTATTATTCATTAAAATATGCATTTTATATTATTACAAATCAAATTAAACTGTACTGATGTAAAAAAAAGAAAAATAAAGATGAATAAAAAGCTCTGGGGGAAAATAGTTAAATCATATAGGCTACAAAAATGAACCATAAAAATGACAAATTCCTTTACTTTTCTTTTTACTTTTAGTAGAAGAAACACGGTAGTATGGTAGTTATTTTAACAACACAACACATATAGGAGGTTATCTTAAATGTTACCTGATGCTCTGTCTCCACATACCACACAAAGATCAAAAATCTTATTTGGTCCCGCGTCTGGGGAAGAATTATCTGTTAAGAGCTTAAAAAAAATTGTTGTTACTCAATAACACTCTGATTCTGTCAAAAAACGAAAGAACAGTCTGTCTTGCTTTTTTGCTTTCTTTTTCATAAGATATTCTTAAACTCTGAACTCTATTATTATTCCTATCAATTAAAAGTCGTAATTTTCTTTACATATAGGTGAACATTTCAATGTTACAACAAGACAGTAAGAATATCTTTCAATCTGTTTCATAACAATTCCATTAAAGTAACCAAACTGTTCAACATACAAATAAATGAGTATTTTTTAATGCATCTCACCCATTATACACTAAATATTATTCACATGGAACACATCAAATTATTGCAGCAGCTATCAGTCCTATCATGACATTTATCTTTGAGAAGCTCAGAACCTTTCCACATGAAATAACATGACAAATAAAAGCTTATAACAGCACAAAAGATAACTCTGAACTTTTTAAATAGAAAAGGGGTTATTAAAGATGTAAATTTGGGGCTGGCCAGATAGCTCATGGTTAGAACGGTCTGGGTTTGATCCCTGTATAGGGCATCAAAACAAAGTAAAAATAATTTTAAAAAGATACAAATTTTGGTGACGCAGTAAATTATACTTATGCAAATATGATTTCTATACAAAGGCAGACTTTTCATTAATGAGTTAAGATTTGGATTAGGTGTAGGCTGACAGCATGGACTCTGGAGCCTGATAAAGCGTAGCACATCAGTGACCAGAAGTGAGACTAGGGGGGGTGGCCTTGGACAAATTACTAAGCCTCCTAAATTATATAAAGAGCTCATCACTAGACACAGCTAATGGGATGCTAGTGAAGGAATAATAGTTTCTTCTTTTAGGTTTATCTTTCAACCTCAACCTTTTCCTCATTTTCTTTCTTTCAATCTTTTGAAATGTTAACAAATCATTAATTCAATTCAAAAAACGTGATACTGCGCTTAGCAAACACCTTCCCCCATGCTTAAAAATAAGAAAATAATCCTCTGCCTTTACTCTTTTTTTCACTTAGGAGTGTGAATGCCTTCAGGACTAATTCTGGTTTTAAGAACTTTAAATGGTTCTTAAAAATGACTGTTCCTTACTACATAATATATGGCATCATTTCTTCTTACATCACCACAAAAATCAGTCTGTAATAAGTACTTGAAAAAAAACAAACTAAACTTCTGGTATTACATGTCTTTTGAAAGCACCTATGGCAAGTATTATTCTTTTCCTAGTAGCATACCTACTGCAAATGGTGCTAATCTTTTATCGGATATTGTTCCTAAGGGTAGAAGAGATTCTGAGAAGTTAAGGAACTTGTCCATATCCCAACTTAGGTTATTAGACCAGAAATTAAATCTTCTTGGCCCAGGGGAATTCCAACCTATACCTGTTTGTCTTTCATTGCCCTTTGTGATGACCCATAAAGTAAGCAAAGTACCAATATTATCCTCATTTTAGGAATTTTGTAAAAAAAAAAAAAAAAATGTAGTAACTTTAGAGTGGAGGAACTTGACAAACACTACTTCAGCCAGGTGATCAAGGTCAACTTCACCAGTCATAAATCACATTGATAGAAAGTACCTTTGATGTGATGAAATGGCACTTAACCTCTGTAATCTTCCTCCCTAAAACCCATAACTCCTGTCTAATCATAAGAAAAACATCAAAGTCCAGTAATGGGGCATCTTATAATATGCCTAATCAGTACTCTTCAAAACTGTCAAGGTCATCAAAAACAGGAAAACCTGATAAACTGTCATAGCCAAGAAGAACCTAAGGACACATGACAACTAAATGTAATATGGTATCCTTGGAATAAAGAAAGGACATTAGGTAAACACTAAAGGAAGCCTAAACCTATGGACTTACTGTTCTAAAAAAAAAAGCTAGTCTATTAATTAAAAAGTAAAAAAATTAAAGTATTCATAATGTTATACTTTTTGTGACTTTTGTTCATTAAAAAAAACTTCTTACAAATCCTTAACTATGGCCCTATTCATTTTCTACCTTAGTTTCTAAAAATAATACAAATAAGGTCACTGGAAGAATAGCATCTGTCGGGACATAAAGGCAAGATTTCATGTTTTATGAATTAGGAGTTTTTCAATCCTAAAAGGAATTTTCTTTCATCAGTTTTTCATCACAAAACATGGAACTCAATTTTTATTAAGCAGACACCCCTCTAAAAATTCTCTAAAGGCAAACTTAAGGGTGCACTGTATTTGTAGTCAAACATAGCAACCAGCAGTAAAAATATGTACATAATCACAGACATGCAGTGTATAAAAGTCTTAACTGGCTCTTTGAAGAATGTATAGTTTTGTATTCCAGTAAAAATTAAAACGACGTAATGTTAATCTATATGACTGAGTTCCAGTGTAAAGCACACCACTGGTAGACTGCTTGCTACATCAACGAAGATGTAGATAACAACAGGGAAGGCATAATGCTGAAGCCAGAAACTATAGTACCGACTTCTTGATTTGGCAGTTTCCTGTACAAGGCATAGGCAGCAAGGTTCTGGAAACTGCAGCTACAGAAGCTGTTTCTGATTTGACAATTTCCTAACTGTGCAGAAGTAGGAGGTCTCTCAGAAGGCAGTTTTGCAGCATGCTCCAATAGTTATTCCTGGAAACCTGACCTGGAACTGTTTCTTCAACAATTGTTTCTTCCCAACAATTCCATGAGTTCTCTATATCATTTATTAAATCCCTTCCTGGCCAAACTAGCCAGAGTAGATCTTACTGTATGCAACTAAGAACCCCCTAATATATATGGGTGTGAGGATTCTGAGGAAAAGTACAGTGGCCCATAGGAGAGGACAGTCACCATAGATATTCCGCACTGCCCATAATTTTACTCAAGAATTTCTTTTTCTACTGAATATGCATATATGTAAAGTCCTTAATGGCAGGACTCATGATATGCTTTTAATTTTTTTTTCAAGTCTCAGATGAAAAGACACTTCAATAGTTAATTACCTGGAGGTGTTGTGCAGACAGATCAGGAGTTGTAAAAAATAACTGGTTGACACCTGACACATCTGGAGTTGTTAGGAAAACTTTTCCTGGAGTGGAATCCTGCCTGGCCAGAATGACTTTGCTTGGAGTAGAGCCATCATGATTTGTCAGAATGAACTGCTTGCCTTGTGTGTTATGATCAAGTGCTGTCACAATCTGGATTTTCTGCCCAGTTTGCTGCTCTGTAACAATCTAACACAATCATGTCGAATAAATAATCAATTCAACTCAACTTTTTTTCAACTCAATTTTCTTATATCTTCAAAGCTAGAAAAGCACACCATTACATATATATTCAATATAACACACACACCTTTTAAACTAGCAATTCTACTTCCACAAAATTCCATCCTACAGAAATAAACAAATTTGCAAATAAATAAAGGTACAATAATAGGAACATTTTGACCTCACTATTTTTTTTTTTCCTTTTTGTCTCTTTTTGTGTCCGGCAACGGATCGCAACCCTCAGTGTTGCGCCCGTACTGGACCGGGACCGGCAACGGGATCACAACCCTCGGTGCTGCGCCCGCCCCTCGCTCAGCCAGTGAGCGGGAACCGGTCTGTATGTGGGATCCGAACCCTCGGCGGGAGCGCCGCCGCGCTTCCCAAGTGGCGCACTGTAGCAGTGCGCCACCGGGCCGGCCCTTGACCTCACTATTTTGATTCCTTCATTCTCCTTCCCTCCCACCTTCCATTTACACAAAAATATATTGGGTGCATTCTACTTGCTGTTCTGGGTCCTGGGATACAGCAGTGAACAAAATGAAATCTTTGCCCTCATGAAGCTTTTATTTTAGCAGGGAAAGACATAATAAATAAGCAAAAAATAACATTGTCAGGTGGTACTAAGTGCTATGAAGAGAAAGCAAGGTAAGGTGAGAGACACTGATAAAATGAGGGCAATGAGGAAAGCTCTCTCTAAGAAGATGACACTTGCACAGACCTAAATAAAAAAAACAGACAAATGTTAGGACTACCTAGCGGAAGAGCATCTCAGGTAGAAGAAACAGAACATACAACACAGCCCTGGGGCAGAAGGGAGTGTCTGACTGACACTCCTGAGGCACAAGGCACAGCAAGAGAGCCTGTGAGTGAAACAGAGGAGGAGACAGGAATTACAGTGGAAGATGGGATCTGAGTGACCGCTGGGGCCAGATTGTATAGGGCTTCCCAGGCTATATGAAAGTCTAGATTTCCTACTGGGTGAAATGGAGAGCCACTGGAGGGTCCGAAGCAGAGAAGTGGCAGGATCTTACCTTTTAAAAAAGAATCAATTTTGACTTGGTGTGAAGAACAGATCACAAATGTTTAAGAATAGAATTAAGAGAGATCAGAAAAGATGCTACTGAAGATACTGTCAGTATCTGGTTATTATATATGAGCAGATTTCTGGGTGGGAACAGGGTAGTAGCCATGCTGAGGTAAAAAATGATTGGATTTGGGATATTTTTTGGAAGAGAGAGGTGACAGGATGTGCTGACAAATTGGAGTGGAATATGAGCAAAGATGAGTCAAGGATGATTACAAAAATCTGGCCTGAGGCTGGCTGGTTAGTGCATGGTGCTGATAACACCAAGGTCAAGGGTTCAGATCCCTTTATCAGCCAACCCCCCCCCCCCAAAAAAAAAAACCAAAAAAACCTGGCCTGTGCAATTAAGACGACAGAAGTGTCGTCTGCTGAGATGGAATAGTTTGGGTAAGAGCAAGTTCATTGATAAAGAAAACTATCCCAGCACTGAGAGTTTTTGTTATTGAGTAAATATTTTCTACAGTCAACTTCATTAAGCCAATTTAATTCCTTTATTAAATTTAAAAAATGGCTTAGTTGGTTTACTTCCAAAATTTTCCCATTTTTATTTTCCTGAAATTATTTTTGAGATTCTTTTCTATATAAAATTTAAGAGAAAGTTATGATTCACTAATCAGTTTTTGTCTAAATGATCATATCTGCTGTCAATTTAAGTTTTTTTTGTTGAACATTATTTCTACTAAGCCTTATTTTTCTGGGTAAAGTTTTTTAAAAATTGTTGTCAATTTTATTTTACATATGTTATTTCTACCAAGTCCAGTCTTTACCTGCCCCCAACAATTTCTGCAATTTTCAGTGATACCTACAAGATGTAACTTTGAAAAAGTTTATCTACACCAAATTTTACCATGTAAAGTTTAAGCTGTTGCCAGTTTTATTGTGGATTATTTGTATAGCAATATTCATTGTGAACTGAATAAAAGACTAATGGCTCACACACTTCTTACAGAAAAGAATTAGGTGCATGCATGGTACAGACTGTCACTGGGTTGAAATATTTTGCTTAGATGAATAAAAGGATATTTCTTGCAGCATAATTATAATAATTGAAAACTGAAACAATCCAAACGGCCTTCAATACAGAACAGTAAATTATGGAAACAACTCTCAGGTCTTAGGACTCCTTTATACTCTAAAAAATGACTGAGGGTCCCAAAGAGCCTTTGTTTATGTGGGTTATAGCTACTGATACTTAACATATTAAAAATTTAAAGAAAAAAATTTAAAATAATATTTATTAATTCATTTAAAAGTAACAACCCATTAAATATTAATATAAATAACACTTTAAATAAAAATTTGTTTACTTTTCCACAAACAAAGATTTAGTGGGGAGAATGGCATTATTTTACATTGTAACAGCCTTTTCAAACTGTGGAAACTGTTCTCTGATGCCACACTAAAACTTGACAAGTGGTAGCTTTTTAAATGTTAGTTGCAATATGTAATCAGAAACTATATTAAAACCCATTGGTCTATCCTGCAATTTGAATGGATCCTTTACTCATGCATGCTTTCATAGCATCATGCATCGATTATTTAGAAAACATTGGTTCACTGACTTATGTACACTTACAAAATGTCAACACATTTCAATCACATCAAGTAGCCTATGGAAAATTCCACTGTATTCGTGTGAGAAAATAGTGAAAAGGCAAGTAACATTTTAGTATTATTATGAAAATGGTTTTGACCTTGCTGACTCTCTGAAAAGGTCCATAGATGATACTTTGAGAACCATTAGATTATGGAACCCCTTACTAAGGAATAGGACATAACCACTGAAAAAATGGAGATGTTTGTATTGACATGAACTAATTCCTACTGGTCCATTAAGACTGGCCTCAGATTTTGCATCTTTCAGAACACATTCCCTATCAGGTCACCTACTCCATAACTCTTCATTAGTTATTTTTCTTCTGTGCTCCCACAGCACTCTATACAATTATCTATCACAGCATGTGCTATATTCTCTTGTGATTGTCTGATTATTCAGCTCTCTCTCACTAGACTGAAAAATTACCTTAAAGCCAGGGGATATCTTTTATCGTTGTACTTCCAGAACCTACAATACAGACACAGTTCCTGACTTGTGATGGTTCGATTTACAATTTTTCAACTTTACAATGGTGCTTTCGGGTATGTATATTAATGGTGACAACCAGTCTATTTTTCACTTTTAGTACAGTATTCAATAAATTACATGAGATATTCAACACTCTACTATAAAATAAGCTTTGTTTTGTATGATTTTGCCCAACTGTAAGCTAATGTAAATGTTCTGAGAACATTTAAGGTAGACTAGGCTGAACTATGATGTTCAGTAGGTTAGGTGTATTAAATTCATTTTTTACTTAGCATATTTTCAACTTACGAAAGGTTTATCAGGACAGAACACCATCATAAGTCAAGAAGCATTTTTTACACATTTAGTGTAAACAATAAAAGTTTGATGAGTCAGCAAATGAACTGTAAACTAGACATACCTCTCCCATCTGTTGTTCAATAATTTGATGTGCAATTTCTTCTATGGTTGCCATGATCTAACTGTCAAAATGTCCTGTCAAAAATAAAAATTTACAAATGAAATCATATGGTATTTAGAATTTGCTTCAAATTAATCCAGTTGGGGTTGGGAGGGAAAAGACAAGATTGGCCATGTGTTGACAGTTGTTGAACACTGTGAACTGGTGAAGCTTTCATACAGGGGCTTATAAAACTATTCTCTCTGCTTTTGTATATTCTGAAAATGTCTATTAAAAAAACTATTCAAGACCCAACAATTTCACTTTTCAAACATACTGAAGCCTAAACAAGAGTACTCTGATTGATATAAAACAGGAGTTGTAGTTTATTAAACTTTTTCTGTTTTTTTTTTTTTTTGGCAGCTGGCCAGTACAGGGATCCAAATCCTTGACCCTAGTGTTACAACACTGCACTCGAACCAACTACCCCAACTGGCCAGCTATTAATTTAAAAAAGGGCACCCCTGTTGGCAAACTTACCACTGTAGCCATATAACACACTCTTTTATCAATATTTTATAAAACTGACAAAATAATTGCATCCATTGAAAGTAGACTTCTCTAGAATTCTGCGATTATTCTTCATAAGTGCCAATTTCTTTCTTTCTTTTTTTTGCTGGCTGGTACAAGGATTGAACCCCAGACCTTGGTGTTACCAGCACCACGCTCTAACCAACTTAGCTAACCTGCCAGCTCTCAAATATCTTATATTTTAAGGTTAATTTGATTATTTTTGTGTGTGTGTGGCTGGCTGGTACAGGGATAATTTGAATCTAATGAAAAACTGTCTACAAAGAATTCGAGAACCTATAAGATTAATGGTCCAACTAATTTGCTTTTTCTCTATATCATGTAGTCAAGAATACAAAATATTTTTGTGCCTTTATATTATATATCGTTTGTCATATATTCACTAATATTCTGTAATTATAATATTAATTCCCAAATGATCTGAATTATTTTTTTCTTTTAATTACTATAAAAAGTAATGCTTTACCTTAAATGCTTCCATTTACTTTTAAATGCTTCCATTAGTTGTGCTAAAAGCAATATTCAATATTTACAATGATTACTGAACTCTAACTAGATTGAAAAGTGGCCCTAACCTCTCTGGAGCCAGCAGAAGAGATAGGCCCCGCACTCCTGGGGCCTGTGCTTCTGAGCTCATGGGGACAGCATCAGTTATGCTAGCCTCTAACCCACCTTTGGGGTTTTCCTTTTCTTGGAAGACAACACTGTTCATGGCTGAGTAGCTTGACTGGCCTGTCCTGCAGAATCCCAGAAGTCTAACAGCATTCCTTCATTTCATCCCATCTCTGTCCCCCTCAGCTCAAGCTTGGCAGCATTTCTGATGGTATAACTTTGTTGGCCTCCCATGCAATTCACTGAGGTCCAAGCCATGAAACAAGAGAGTCCTCCACAGATCTTTCATGGATAACCCCATATCTATGCCTGGATTCTGACAAGATGGCTGACTGGACCCATAAGTCACAAACCCGTAACCTCTTTAGAGATAATTATCCAGTCACACCACTGATATTCTCTCCAGAATACACTTTCTCATTTTTTGCAATATGGATAGGCTAAGAATTTTCCAAATCTTCAAGTTCTAGTTCTGTTTTCCTTAACAATTCCTTCTTCAATTTATCTCTCTCCTCTCACAATTTACTTTAAGCAATAAGGAGAAACCAAGACATGATTTCAATACTTTGCTTAGGCATCTCCTCACCTAATACCCAAGTTCTATCTTCTACAAAACACTAGAACACAATTCAGCCAAGTTCTCTGCCACTTTATGAAGGATCTTCTTTCCTCCAGTGTCCAATGTGTTCCTCACTTCCATCTGAGACTTCATCAGAAGTACCTTTAATGTTCACATTTCTATCAACCTTCTGCTCATAATGATATACTTATATCTCTAAAATGAAGGAAGCTTTCTCTACAGCTCTCCTCTTTTCTTCCTTACCAGAATCATCTTTAATATCCATGTTTCTATCAGCAGTCTCCTCAAGACAATCTTAGCCTTTTTCTAGCATGCACTTCTAGACTCTTCCAGCCTCTACTTGTTGGAGTGAACAAGACTGAAGCCATCCATGTTTGGATCTAAAACTGCATGGGCTCTAGTTTTTAAAAGGCACAGTTTCTTTTCCTTAGCATGTATTTCTCTGAGTTCTCTCTTTTCCCATGGTTATTTGATATTTTGAACCTTGGTTATCGGGCAAGATGATATTATTTACAAACTGTGCTTTTTTTTGGTGTCTGTCCAGTATGGGGATCCAAACCCTTGACCTTGCTCTAACCAACTGAGCTAACTGGCCAGCCCCAAGATGACATTATTTACATAAATGCAAAGTTGTTTTCCAGTCAGCCTTACAGTTTCTAGGAGATGCAAACTTGCCATGAGACACATACTATCCAGACCTGAGAAACCAAAGAAGACATCGATAAAGCTACGCTGTTGCCACCCAGAAGCAAGATCTCTCCTCAGGTCACTGGTATTTCTGAATAAAAGCTGACTTCCTATTCTACCAACAATTTGACTTTAAAGTAGCTTTTGTTTGGGGCAGGCAGCCCTGGGTTCTGTAACAGATTTTTGAGAGCCAAGCCACAGTTTTTGTACAGGGCAGGCAGCTGAAGTTGGGTTCAGTAATATACTCTTTACCAAGTTTCAAACGTTTAGGTATTTGTTCCAGTAGCACCCAACTTCATGGTACTAAAGTCTGTATTGGTTTGCTAGGGATACAAACAAAGTACTACAGACGGGATGGCTTCAACAACAAAAAAATATTTTCTAATAATTTTAGAGGCTAGAAGCTTGAGATCAAGGTATGGCAGGGTTGGCTTTTTCTGAGGTCTCTCTCCTTGGCTCTTAGATGGCTGCCTTCTCCTTATGTCTTCACACAGCCTTTCCTCTGAGAGTCTGTCACAATCTTCTCTTCTCATAAGGAGACCAGTCATACTGGATTAGGGCCCACCCTAAGGACTTCATTTTAACTCAGTTATCTCTTTAAAAGGCCTTACCTTCTTCAAATAGTCATGTTCTGAGGTGCTGGGGGTTAGGACTTCAACACATAAATTTGGGGAGGAAACAATTCAGCCCATAACACTTGCATAAATCTAATGAGAATTGTGCAAGATCTATATAAAGAAAGCTTTAAAATGCGACCTGGAGACAAGAAAAACTATACCTTGAAGGACACTTAAGAAAATGGTTACCATGACTACATCCAAGGAGAGGAACTGAAAGTGTGGGAAAAGGGTAACTGGTTAGCGAAAGAAGAATCAGGGAAAGTTCTTACAATATTTGTTTCACTTACTGTACAACTCAATTTGTGTGGAGAAAAACAGGAAGAAGAGGAATTTGTAAAACAGATTCAGACTAGAAAGGCATATTAAGAAAAACCTTTCCCCTTTTTTACTCCTGCCCAACAAAACATATCTTCCATTGACCCCCAAGTACTTATTGTATTCTATTTGTAAAGCTTGTTGAATGTCCATCAAGCCAACTCATTATCTTAAGATTCAGATCTAGGAAGGCAAAGATAAAGTCAAATCTATAAACCTATTTTCATCATTATCTATTTCCCTTCCCAAACTATCAGTGAATATAATATTTATATGTACATAAACCTATGAAATAATTTAAATACATCTTACAATCCTGTTCATTTAAACAAATTTTCACTATTTACAAAAGAGGCAATTTATCTAAATTAATTAAAAATCCTATCTAAATTCATTATTTTATTAAATTCAGAAATTTCCAGAGGATAGTATCTCTCACTTTCGTAGACAAATTAAAAAACTGGTAAGGGAAAAATAATGAAACTGAGAATTAAATAGGTGTTTGGCATGGAAGCAGGTATTTATAAGTATATCAGTCACTTTGAAACAAAAGCTCAAATACTAGTTTAAGCAAAAAGCAAAACAAAACAAAAACCAGCAGAGGGGAAGAGGAAATATACATTGCTAGGACAGTGGTAGAGCTGACCTGGGGAAAAACTGGAGCTAGGGTCTCAGATGCTGTCAGGAATTTCCCTGTCTCTATTCTTGGCTTCCTCCATGAGGCTCCTTATTTTCAACTTTGTAGTAAAGCATCAGGAAAGTAAAAGTAATCTTCTCTAAACCCGATTTAAAAATCCTGGTAATGGATTCTGATTGGCCCAGCTTAGGTTATGCACTCATGTAGGTAGGCCAGAAGGAAGGAAGGGAAGGTTATTATGATAGTCAGCTTCCATTTTGGAAAGCCTATTTCCCAAAAGTTGGACTAATACAGACATGGCTACTGATGTAATCATCACAAGCCAGGCAACCACTTCAATTTACTTCTACTACTGATACAGAGAACTCTTCAACCAAAAGTCCACTGAACACGATTAAGCCACTCAAAAAATTTAATTCAGCATTGACTCTAATTTTCTGCTGTTAGTTGGAGAAATCCCAAAAAGGAGAAGAGGAAAACCCTTATTCTTATAAAATACTATATCAACGGTCTACTTTTGGCCACATTCAGATCAAGGTTCTTCTAATTTCTTGCTTTGTGAGTTCTTTAGTAAATGACAAATTTAGTTTAATAGCTATGTTGTTTTAAATAATCTCCAAAGTCTCTAGAGAATTCTCAAAATACATTTTTTTTCAAAGTAAACATGTCAAAAACATACTTAAAAAACTTTTTAAAAAAAGAAGTTGGTAATAGGGCATAAAGAGTGAGGGCAAGCAGCCTTGCAGGCCTCAATATTAAAAATTTGAGGACTATAGTCTTAAGGACCTTGCTGTTACACTTCTTCATGAAACAAAAGATAGCAGTGGTTACCAGTTCCCCTGATGTACTGATATAAAGAATCTTCTTGTTGGAGAGGGACTACTGACAGTTTAAAAATAATCAAATTACGGGGCCAGCCCGTGGTGAGTGCAGTGCTGATAACACCAAGGCCACGGGTTCGGATCCTATATAGGGATGGCCGGTTAGCTCACTGGCTGTGCGTGGTGCTGACAACAACAAGCCAAGGGTTAAGATCCCCTTACTGGTCATCTT